ACGGAAGTCCTGCGTTTCATCGGATAGGTCGACCTCGGGCTGTGTAGAAGCATTTTCAGGGGCGCGAATAGCGTCCTCGTCTGCATCTGCCATGTTGAATTGTTTGTTAAGAATAAATTAGAGGCTGGAATTTCGGAGTCAGAGTCGGAGGGGATTAGAAAAGGTGAGCTTATCGATAAGCGGGCTTTTTTTCGTCAGGCAGAATAATATCTATGTTGGCCCCGGGGGACTTTTCCCAAGATCATCAACCTTGGAAGGTCAACATGAGATTACAAACAGTTTTAAATTGGATATCTCGTCATTCAGCGATCCTGGAATGTTGATATTTGATCCATAACTTGTCGAATCCTATGAAATAGCATGACTGCTCACAGCCTTTGCCGCTCAAATATAGCTATCGAGCCGATATTGCAAGTCCTCTATTGCTTTTCCAAAATCACAACTTGACTGCCATAGTCATCCTTAAAGGGGAATTGCAGACCAATATTCATCAAGGTTCCACCAGTGTAAACCACACCATCATCAATTTTATAGGAAGCCTGCTCATCCAATCCCTGCAACCTAACGCGGGGCCATGAGTGATCAACATTTGGGGCAAGCTGGAAGACAAACAACACAGCCTTCTGACCATCCTCGGCGATGAACAAAACAGCAGGCCAATTCGAGTCCTCTGGAAGGTTCAACCGCCACATGTCACCAGTAAGAACAATGGGATTTACCTTCTCAGCGAGAGCAATGAGCCCCGGCAGAGCTGCCTTTTCGTCAGCGTCCATCACAGCAGGATCAAGTTCCAAGCCAAACGAGCCGCCCATCATCGCGACATGTCCGCGGACAGCGACGGGGACTGTGCGGCCAGTCTGTTGATTCGGCACTTCGGACAGGTGCGCACCCATCGCGCTAGGAGGGTAGGCGAGTGAAGTGCCAAGCTGGATGGTAATGCGATCGATTGCGTCTGTGTTGTCAGATGTCCAGATCTGCGGGAAGTACTGGAGAACACCTGGGTCAAAACGACCTCCACCTGACGCGCAACCCTCCCAGAGGACATCTGGGAATTGGGTTGTTAGTTCCTCAAAAACGCGGTACAGTCCGAGAATGTAGGCGTGGCTTGTGGCTGGGGAAGGCATCTCGTGAATGCCTCTGTTGTTATCCCACTTGACGTAACTAATATCTGCACTCTTGAGGACGTCCGACACGGACTTGATGATGAAGTCTTGGACTTCAGGAAGAGCGAGATTCAATACGAGCTGGTTACGTCTTTCGGTGCGAGGGTAGGGTCCTGCGTGTAGGACCCACTCCGGGTGCTCGTGATATAGAGTTGAGTTCGGGTTGACCATTTCCGGCTCGAACCAGATACCAAAGCGCATGTTCGTTGACGAGTTAGCGGCTTTGAGATCTGTGATATTTTTCACAAGTGGCTCCAGGCCGTTTGGGAACCGATCAGGGTTTGGGACCCAGTCGCCCAGTCCGGCATTGTCAGAGACACGTGGGTATTCCTTGCCGAACCAGCCGTCATCCAGAACGAAGAGCTTTGCGCCTACTTCGGCGGCTTCCTTCGCCAGCTCGTAGATGCTGCTCTGGTTGTAATCGAAATACAGTCCTTCCCAACTGTTCAGCAACGTAGGACGATCACTGGTAGCAAACTTGCTCTTGATGAGATGGTTGCGGTACAGGCGATGCAGGGAGCGTGACATTCCACCGAGGCCATCCTTAGAGTATACTGAGACACACTCCGGGGAAGTAAGAGTCTCTCCAGGAGGCAGAGTCCACGAGAGCTGACCAGGGTTGAAACCCAGAAGGGCACGGGTGAAACCCTGTGCACCCTTCTCGACGTTCACGGCGAATGAACCTGTGTACACAAGCGAGAATCCCCATACCTCTCCCTGGGACTCGGTGGCGGAGGGATCTGCCAATGCCAGGAAAGGATTGTGGAGGTGAGAGGAGTACCCAGTGGAGCTTCCAAAGCTTTGGGTACCGTACGTAACCCTTTTCCTCTCGCGGTGCGCTTCCCTCGCCCAGTCTCCACGAAGACTGATCATGTCCAGTTCCTCAAACGGCAAATCCACGCTCAGACTGGCCAGGGACTCAATTGTGATATTTGCGTCTCCATGGTTCGTAACATTCACGCTGCGCACAATAGCATCATGCTTAGGGAAAATTGAGTAGGAGAGGTCCGCAGCCACATCGCTGTACTTGTCATATAGACTGATGATCAAAGTGCTAACATCCTCTTCTGTGCCTGTCGTGGCTGGCAACCCAGGCAGAGCGGGCTTGCCGGCAATGATCTTGTGTGATTTGTACTGGAATTCAGATACAGTATACCCTTCTGACTGACGAATGCGAATCGCAGGGGTCCGGAAATCCCCTCGGCCCTGGTCTGGGAACTCGCGGCGCACACGTCCGATATGACTATTCCAGCCATTGACGTCGCCTACAGTCTCCAGAGGGATATTAGCTCCAACGGAGCCGCCGAAATGGTCCCCTAGGAGATCACCCGTGGTGTTGTCCACATGGATGCGGTACGAAACATTTTCTCCATTGAGAGCAAAGAAAGTACCGTCCGCCGCGATTGCTATAGGATATGTGGTTAGGCTTGAAACTAGAAAAGACAGAAGCAAAGGACTCACGCTTTGTGCTTAATTCCTTAGCCATAATAGCAGAGGAATGTGCAAGTAGGCCAAGGCATGTAGCCACTGTAACGCCCTTTGGTAAGTAAACCATTTTTGCTATGCTTTTGACAGAATTCAAATCCCAAACCAGGGAAATACATACCTTTTTATATCTTTTACCCCGACGTCTTTCCCCGACGTCTTTTCCCCGACTTGTGGGGAGATTATATGCGGGTATTCCAAGGTTGGCTTGTATTATGTAGATCTCAATCAAGTAGAAATGGGTCTCAATTGCCAAGAACAGGCTTCTATGAGTCTGCTGAACTATAACTAGTCAAATGCGTATATAGAAAAAACTTCGGCGATACTCACGAGTATATATGCTGGGGTTTATACTTGTGGAGTCGAAAATGCGGAGGAAACTCCGGGGATACTCCGTGTCGCGGGCGGTTTTGAACCTCGCTCATTGGTTTTTGCTCTTTTCAATCCCGACGCAGTCCACTGAGCTCCTCCATTTTGCCAATACTTTAACAAGTGGTCCTTCTTTCTTTGGGAATAATGAGACCAGCAAAGGCCTGTGCGATATGCCGGTAAGCCAGTCATACCCCGGCCCAACCGATCCCGGACTCATATGTTAGTGAACGTCGACGAAAATGCGACATTCCGGCACCCGGCCGCTCGTGCAGCTATTGCTCCGCCCGGGGCCTATTTTGTACTCGGAAACAGCTCTCCGTGCCGAAAGAATCTTCTACGTCAGAAGAATCAACTGCCGGGACTCTGTCTCTACCCGAGAAATGCACTTTACCAGATCAACCCCTCTGCATTGAACTAGTGGAGCTGTATTTTGATTATGTGCATGATAAATTTCATTCTCTCTTCCATCGACCAAGTCTGATTGAAGATATACGCCGTGGACAAGCGCCCGAGAATTTAATATACGGGATTCTTGCATTATCGGCACGGTATGCCTTCAACTCGGCCCGAATGAACAGAATCTGACTCCGGTAGATTTTCAAATCACTTTTCCTTTGCCGACACAGATCCTCGGAAAAGAGGGAAAGGATATACCAAAAGATGTGAACAACTACTCAACTTGAATGATGTCTCTTTGACAACAATCCAAGTTTGTGTTCTGCTCGGTGCAATTGCGGTAGTAGATGGAAATCCTGCCTCGGAGACCATCTACTACTCAATAGCATGCCGTATTGCCCAACTCCTTGATCTCCCAAACTGCCGTGCTTCAAGTCGTGTGGAACAAGAAGTAAACACGAGAGGTTTGTAGTCTATGCGGAACTACTCAAAAATATCCACACATCTAACATCCAACACAGTATGGTGGACTCTTTGTATGATAGACGTCTGGTCCTCATCAGGAGTCCGACTCCCACGACTAATGACCCCCCAACCAAACGTCCCGCTCCCGATGAACGAAGCAACCTTCCTCGCCATGACCCGCAATCAAGGCTTTACAGTATTAGTCACAAACGACCGCGCCTCATCCCTCCTAGCACAAATGGTCCTACTAAACCGAATCCTCTTGGAAATCAACGACTTCAACACCAAAGCTGCCGAAACAACCCTCACTGAAGAATACATAAAAATAACCATCTCAACTCTCTCCGCCAAACTCTCCACCTGGCTCATAAACCTACCCGCTCACATGCACGACACGCCCTCCAACCTCCAATCCTACGCCTCCCAAGGCCAAGGCCACCTTTTCGTAACCCTTTATTTAGGCTACTACCACTACGGCCAAATGCTCTTCTACCGGTTCCTCCACGAAGACGTCCGAGGGCACACATCACGCACGCACTTCTACGCACAGCAGTGCAAAGAACACGCCGTCCGGCTCTGTGAGATGATCTACCGCTCCGAGGAAGTACCAGGTTGCGCCGTGCTGTACAATATGGTCGGCCATGTACTCGTTATTGCATCGACGGTGCAGATCCATACGTTGCTTTTCGGCGACGAGGCGAGTGTCGTTCGGGCTAGGGCGAGGCTCGAGAGGAATTTCTGTATTCTGACCAAACTCCGTGCGCTCTGGCCTACGCTTGATGTTTGTATGGAGCGGTTACAGGCTTTTCATCGGGCTTGTAGGAGCTCGGTTGATACTAGTTTTTGTATGGATAGGTGGATGGTGAGGTTTTTGGTCGAGTTTGCGAACCCGGTTAGGGATAAGGATGGGGGTGGGGGTGTGGAGGTTCCTTGGGCTTTGGAGGAAATTGGGATTTGTTAGATGGATACCCTGTATATTTAGTGGTCGTTTGTATATTGTCGAGATGTTGGAAAAAACTATAGATGACACTAGGCGGTGACGAGAGCGGTCAATTCGATATACATCGTGCGTCTCATGCCCAAAGTGGATGATGCCCCTGACAAATTCAATTGAACTGCTCAGGCACCGATTTTGAAAGTATCAGGCATATTTCCAAGCTACTGGATAACATCACATGGACGAAAGAAATCAAAATATCGTGGACTATAACGAAAGTTTGCGCAAGGTATATCGCCCAATACAACCACCAAATGCAGGAAGTAACAAGAGAGATAGATATCAAACAGCCTTGAGAATGCTCTGAAGACCTTTGGACCCTCTTCGAGGCAGTACCAAACCATTCTTGAAATGTTGAAAGAATGTCTCCGGGATATTGAGAACGAAAGCCAAAAGCAAAGCAAAGCCCAGGTGGTTGACGCAGACATGCTAAGCATTGCCATGGGATTTTTAGAAATTGGGAAATAAAGCTGCATATATAATACAATGTATACATGGAGAGCTATTGAGAGAAAATCCCTGGAACCGAGAAGATAAATATCAAACCATACATGTATATAAGAACAGGAAGGATTCTGTCTAAAAGTAGTGCATATAACAACCTCTTGAGATGAAACCTACACAAAAGAGTATGCCTAGTAGAATCCTAGTTTCCCAATACTCTAAGTATAAAGTCAATATTGTGTTTACATATCTGGGTGGATTTGCATACCCTCGTTAATTTATTTCCTGATTGTATTTAAACGATATATGTCATTGGCGGCATGTGTTGAAAAGATTTTACATTCCAACTGACAACATTTGAATATACATGGCCACGAGAATAGATTATTCCTGTGTCCTGAATCCATAGATCCACAGATTCATGGGTCCATGGGTCCATATGGATACAAATTGTATCACAACCGAGCCAAATGTGTGACCGAACCAATGTGCGGATGAAATGATCACTGAATGGCCAAACAAGACCAAATGCATGTATGCGGCGGGGAGACGCTGTCTATAAGTCAAGGGCGACAAGGCAGTCAACACTCGATTTCCCCGGCCAAATCTCTAAACAGGTAACCCAAACACCCCATGATCCCCATTTTGCCCGGAGATGAACAGCCGAGCTTCCAGGAATACCATGCAACCAACTCCAAAATGTATGCAATCGTAAGACATGTCGTGATATAGCGTGATCGCAGAGGAGCCTTCAGCCTCCGCACCCGCCAGGGACATCAAAAGTAACGGCAGCCGTCGGACCCCGTGTGTGGGAATACCGTCCAGGACCTGCGGTATCCGGACGGGGGAGTTTATTAAATAATTTTCATCGTTGTTATTGTGAAGGGTTGAATCGTCTCCCATCTCAGTCGATCAGCGGTTTCTTCTGGTTGCCGACAATAGCGGCGCCTATATGGCTGAGGGCGTTGTGGTCATTTGGTCGTACAATTGCTGGAAGAGGCAGCATGGGGTTGTCCGGGTTAACGTGGGCGGCGTCTCGTGCAGCTTGCTCGATCGCTTCCATTTCTTCTTTGCAGCCGGCGTGGTCGAGAGGGCAGACCACAATTGGTTGTCGGATGGTAATGTCTCTTGCTGAGGTTAAGTGGGCCTGCCGAGTGTGAGTTTTGGGGATGATATACTATGAAACTAGGGGGAAAACGAACTCGAACTGTGAGGTAGTACTCAATTTTATATAGACTTGCTGTGGTTGTGAAGCCGCTCACACCGTACGTTGGAAATGCAGCCCTACTTCTTGGCAAGATTCCTTCTGCATCGCGGAGGTCCTTGGCAGGGAATACCAAGCCCAGGTTTGTCAAGTAGCCCGATTGGGGCAGTTTAACGCCAATGTTTTCCGTTTTCTTGGCTAGAACCTTGACTTTGCGCTGGGGCTCATCGCCTTCGTGGTTGTAGATGATTTCTTCATCGATGCCGATGGTGATCTTGTTGATGGTCACTTTTCGCGCCTTGCCCATCCAGCTCTCGTTCGGTGACAGTTTGACGTAGACGCTGACAGGATCGAGAGGACCGTAGGACCACCGTGGTAGTGAGATGGCTAAGGTGACCAGATGATCTGATACACGCTCCGCCGACTCCGGACGATTGTACATGCCGAATGTGGAGAGTGTGTCGTAGCGCGCGATCGGGACGGGGAAGGTGTATTTGTGCTGCTGCTGCTGTCCTTGTTGGACCGTCACCACCATCTCGTAGTAGGTTTCGGCGGTGCGACTCGGGAGCTGTACACTAGCTGGTGGTACACGGCGAGAGGCATCACGACCCCCACGACCAAATGGAATAAAGAGGACGAAAGGCAGATCCATAGATATTACTTCCTCGTATTCTCGGCCGGCGGGACATCGAAATAGAAGCATCTCTTTGCCGACGATGTCAGTGATCTCTTTCCGCGGCGGAGCTAGGCGTTTCTTCGTGAAGGTGTCGGCCGAAGGGTGAATGGTCTCGCGGCGGAGGAGGGAAATCGTGACAAGCGAGACGTTGACCGGAGCTGTAATGCCAACGCACGGTCTGATTTCAACTTTACCCTCGATTCGTGGCTTGGATAGTCAGTCAATGGGGCCGTGTGAGCAGGGGGCCAAACGGGCTCGCCGCATGTATCGCAGGGCGCTTACCATGGTCGCAGAAATGCCTGGGTATCCGATCAGAAAATTGCCATTTGCTGGGCCTGATACGCGCACAAAGGCGGCCATCTCGAGTCAGCCGTGCCTGTCGCACCATAGACATGCGGAGGTTGGTTGAGTTGTGGGGAATATGCGAGTGGACGGGGGATCCTTTCGCACGGTTCATAAGGGTTCGACGGTGGGTTGGGTAGACTGCGTAGGCGTATAGATAGTTTGAATGTCGGAGGTGAAAAGAGGTTGAAAAGTGTAAGTTGCCCTGAGGCCTAGAGGTCTAGAGGTTCGAGATAGGAGAGGTGAAGGAGCTGAGCTTCCAAAAGGTACAGTGGTTTGTGGTGGGGAAAGGTGAACTGAGCCCCCCCCAACAGCCACAATTGAATTAGAGCCTCTAGTTTTTTGGGGTTTATTGGGCTCTTTCAGGATTCTCGATATTAAATGGGTTGATACACTATAATAACAATATAGGAAGATGAATCAGGTCTTGTCATATCTCTACATATGTACCCAGACGTAATGGTTATCGCGTGGACAATGTAAGCCCAGTTTTCAATACCAATGTCATCATCGTCATCACACATGAATCTATAGAACAATATACATTAGTACCTACATGTACTAAATAGATGAGTTTATATGGCAACGAATGTATAAATGTACCTAGGTATATATCAAGCCCAATCAGAACCACGGAAGACTAAATTCCGGACCTCAGCAGATTTCCCAAGATTTGGTTGCCAGTGCAACCATGACATCGCCTCCTTCTCCACCTAATTTCTTCAACATTTGTTCCCCATCCCATATCCTAACGCCAAGCCACTGCATTCTACATCAATATGCCTCGTCGTGTAGCAAATAAACCCGGGTCGCAGTCGACACTGTCCTTTGGAGGGAGCCGAGTGACAAAACCAGTCACCGCACCATCCCATAAAGCGAAGGCCCTCGACTCAACTCCAGCGCTCTCCGACAAATCTGCATCCGCCACACCGGAGCCCCAGCAGTTGTCCGTCACCCCAAATGAACCCTCCAAGCCCCATGTTGCAGAGCTAGCGGTGCGGCAGCAGGCTGCAACTGAACACCAAGCGCCCCAATCCGAAGAAGATAAGCGGGCATTGAAGTTGAATAAGCAGGATATCTGGCGATACTGGCAGGCTCAAGAGCAGGCCCGCAAGGCACCTAGAGGTAAGTCGATATTGTCGCACAGGGAATTAGTATGGGTCAAGAGGCTAATAGGCTAATTCCAACTTAATAGCCCACCAACAAGGCATGGATGTAGAGGAAAAGATTCTCCGGCATTTTGATCTTTCCAGTCAATACGGGGTATGTTGTCTTGGTATCCGAGATTTTTCTATAAAAAAAAGTCATCTAACATAATGTCTTTCTCTTTAGCCCTGTATTGGAATTGCCCGTGTCAAGCGCTGGAGACGGGCTAATCTGCTGAAGCTCAACCCGCCCATTGAAGTTCTTGCAGTTCTTCTGAAGGGGAAGAATACAAATGAGCGAGCACATATTGATGAATTGTTATCCTGAGGACATATATCCTCAGGAAATATGGGAAAGTGATTTGAAATGGCGTTAACAGACTTGCATGGACTGGGCGTATGTGATAGGTATTAATGCGATACGAATGATATGTATGGGTATTCCCAGACTTTAAAAAGTTGTAAATTCAATTCCAGAGACGGAAGAGTAATTTTGGACTTTCAAGGGAATGATTTTCTATCGAGGACTTTCCATGTGAGCCGGCCGAGGCAATCTTGCACTGGCAAATTGAATTTCAGGCAATGCCCAGGTGGCAATTCCCGCTTATACGCATTCGATACGATAGAATGCCCGAATGCCCGATCCTGGAGACGTCGATCCTTATTTCAATTCATCGGGAAAGCTCTTCAAACTACATCGTACATACAAAGTATATCGGCAATGGCTATATTTATCTAGAACTGGAGATGAAAGACCAGGATGTTATTGGGATCTTCTCAGGTCCGTGGTATCCCCGGATTCACACAATGGGTCTGTCCGGGGACCCCGCGATATTCGCTATCGGCCATCTTTGCTTTTTTCCCCCTTCTTGACTACATCCTGTTTGCTATGTGGGTAGAAAGCTTAGTGATTTTGCTTGTTATCTCTGCATTATTCGTATGGACACATTCACATATGCATTATTATTACCATTGTTATGATCTTATCCACTGCAAGGGTCTTTCGCCTCGACGCCTCAACAGTCATTTAACCGATTGGAATGAAAGTCTAAGCCCAATTTAGGTATTACGTCCGGCCGGTACGCCTTTTCTTTTGTTTTCCAGCATAGTGGGCATAAACTGGGCATGAGATCTTACTGGGCACAGGGTCTCGTTCAAGGCCCTCGGTGGCGACGCTAAGCAGGACTTGTTTCCCATGTGATTGATTAATTTTTTTGTCCCTGATTTTCCTGCTTTCTGGGTATTACCCCAAACCCCACGCTACAAAAGTGAATACTAGCGTATAGAAGGTCTAGTCTGCGTCTTGACTGGGCCCACCCCCGCTAAATGTCTCACTTGTCTGGGCTATGGTGGACCCTTCTCGAACCAGTTCCCCCTCCTACGTCGTTCATTTTCACAGTATGAAAAGAAATACACAAATGGTTTACTAGGAAGTAACATCTGGACTATATTGACAATGGAGGCGTATGCAGGTACCATATTTCACGATCGACTCATCTCTCGGAAGATGCCATTATTTTGATATCCTTGCTAGGCTGTGGGTATCCCGGAAGATATCGAATTATAATTAACTCCAATGAAACTCTGCAGACGCTCGGGGTATCTTTGCGGCCTTTATCTGACCCAGAGAGCTACTATGTACTACATTGTACATCCATGAGCCCTATATTAGACAATTTCCGTAGCTCACAAGGTTGGCCTCCTGAGTTTGGACCCTTTTTAAAGCCTTTCATTTGAGGAACCAAATGATAATGCCGTGTGTTACCCCAATCAATTCGAAGATGTTCTATTGTTATTATTGTTATTATTATATTAATTCCAAGGTTGTGTAGACATTGCGTCGGACCAAGTCCCAATGTGGTATAGTTCGATACTACGCTCTGCCGGGCCCTACCGGGCCTGCCGGGGTCCAACTATCTTCCCCGGATTTTCTTCAAAATACCAGATACGATGGGGTTCGCCACCCTTTGGTCTTTGTCAATCATGCTGTCATGCATTCAAATGGTCATTGTTTGGGCTTATCCTGCATACGCTTGAGTCCTACTTCCAGCCAATCTACTCAAGGTTCTGCAATGGGAACGCTGCACAATGTATGCTACATGTACGGCTGTACGAAGTACTGCAACCTGTACCGTACCTTCGCCCATGGAGGCCGCTAAGAGTCTAGCCAAACACAGTGGAAATTAAGCTAGTGACCCTGTTCGGCCGTATGACTAGCAAATGGGAAGTGTAGTACGGATGTACCAACATTACCACTGGTCTAGCTTTTCCGGTGGCTTCCTCGCTCGTCCTGGTCTAGTCTCAACTTGGCGATGCGGGCATACGTACGCCGTACGAGACAATGGGACCAACCAGCCATCGTCATTCTAATACTCAATCGGCTGCGGGAACCCAGGATCCGGCGTAAGCCTTCTGCCTTGGCCGTGCAATGAACGTCCGGGGTTCCAATCCGTGGTAATTACGGATCTGAGTCAACCGCGGCCTTGACCTCATTTCGGTGGATTGCCTCCCATTAAGCATGCGGAGACATGTGATGGTCCCACGCGCCAACCGGTGCAACCCTGCCACAGGGGTTTCTCCATGGGGGAGGTGGAGTATATAGGATGAGCGAAGCTTATAAAAAGGGCATCACCCATCCAAGTCCAGACCTAGCTCTTCTCAACTCACCTGCACTCGCTATACATAATTGACTGTCATTTCCGGCACGCCGTTCATAAAATAACTACTTTTAGTCCAGCTATATCATCAAGATGAAGTTCTCCACCACTCTGATTGCCTTCGCTGCCGCCGGCCTCGCCAGCGCCCAGCTGCCCGATGTGCCTTCCTGCTCGGTACGAATAAAACCAATGCCTACGTAACAAGAATATTGTCTACTAACACTCCCCACTAGCTGAGCTGCTTCCTCAGTGCTCTGCAGAGCGATGGTTGCTCCGAGCTGCTCGACTTCAAGTGCCACTGCCAGAAGACCGAGCTCGTGTCCAGCATCACCCCTTGTGTTGCTAAGGCCTGTGAGCACAGCGACCAAGTCTGTATGTTAACATCAGTCTGCTCCATCTTTGACCGCCAACACCCCCACTAACACACCCATCCAGCTGTCTCCAACGCCGTCGTTAACCAGTGCTCCTCTGCCGGCCACCCCATCTCGATCCCTCCCATCGAGACCAGCGCTTCCTCCAGCGCCAGCTCCTCAGAGACTAGCACCCCCAGCTCCACCCCCGCTGAGACCTCCGCCTCCGCTACCCCCACCGCGTCTGCCAGCGAGAGCTCCAGCGCCGTTGAGTCCTCCTCCTCCGCTGTTGAGACCGAGAGCTCCACCACTGGTGCCGGTGCCGGTGCCGGTACCACCACTGGATCCGCCGCTGGCTCCTCCGGTGCTGCCACCTCCACTCCTCTGGTGACCACCACCGGATCCGCCACTGCCTCTTCCTCCTCGCCCGCCTTCAACGGTGCTGGCAATGTCAAGGGTAACCTGGCTGGTGTTGCTGCTTTCGCCGCTGCCGCCGCTTACGTTCTGTAAATATATCTATACCTAATCTAACGCTGTTGTCAGTGTTTGCGATTGGCTCTCGTTGGCAGGTGGGATTCACTTCTTTTTTTTGGCTGACTGGGTTGGTTGTGCAAGACGCCTGAATGGGTCACCTCCCTGTATAGTTGACATGATTAATACAATGCACGTCTTGCTTTTGCCTCTTGGGTGAAACTGATGTTTATGATTTTATCTTTATTCTGTTCTTTTTGGCTTTGTAGTGGTAACCTTCGTCGGCTTCATACAAACTCCAAACCAGTGAACTGAGCAATATGAAAAATATAGCTTGGTGCGATAACTTAATTGGACGTTGATTTTCAAGAAATACGTAACAAACACAACGACAATTAACAAATAGACTTCTCACATAGTAAAAGATCCTCCATGAGTTAAATAATGGCGGGCCGCACTCCTGTATATGAAATAACCTAAGCTAGTAACATTATTCCAATTTTTAATGCGAGAGATTTGACACAAAATAGCCCATGACAGCGATGAGACTGCAGTGCCAAGCTTCGAGAGTAGCGCTTATGCTAATTGTCGCTGTTTCCTGACGGCTACCTTTGGTGCCATCCTAGGTGCCCTATTTACCAGAATCCTAATTATAATTCTCTTTCGGCTATTCTTGAGTTAATTAAAGTCATGACAAGTAATTCATTATATATAACTAAATATATCTTTGGAAATCATCACAGTAGGGCAGCCATCGCAGCAGCAACCATAGGGGCAGCCGTGATCAAAGCACCCGCGTGTCCAGCAGCACCACCGGTTGACTGAGTAGTCTCGACAGATGTGGTCGAAGCTGTTCCAGCAGTTGTCTGGGTGGCGCTGGGAGTCGTAAGGGTAATAGAATCCAGTCCGGCAGTAACCGTCAACTGGTAGTATGAATTGGAAATCGGGGCTGTGGTGTAGGTAGCCTTGCTGGTAGTGGAAGACTCGTATTTCCCTCCATCCAAGGATCCGTTCATGCCTAGACTCATGGTGCAGCTGGCGGATTCGGTTGAAGCTTTCAGAGAGCACTCATAGGACTGGGTGAGAGTGAGATCATAGCTAGTCGACTTGCCCGAGGTGGAGGCGATATATTGCCCGGTGACGCTGACTGTCTCCGGGCCTTGAATGATTGTCCACGAAGTGGGATAGTTGCAATCTGTCTTAGGGGCGCCCTTCACACAACCGACGTGGTATGTGGCGGCCTTGGTGTTGTAGGCGACAAGGCTGGCAGCGGTGCTTGTCCAGCCACCGTACTGGAGGAAGCCTGCATCCCAAGGAGGGGAGAAGTAGCCAATTATGACGCTGCTGGTGTCGTCGGCCTGAGCACTAAGGGTAGCAAGAGCTGTTGCGAGGAAAATAGAGGCACGCATGTTGATAGTTCTTGGTTTCTCAGACGATGAAGTGGGCAATTTAAGAGAAGTAAAAAGGTATAAACTGTAATTGACTGACGCGTCCCTTTAAATGAGCTGAACTAAGCTATTTACTTAGCTTACGGCGCTTTGCTCAATGTGTGGCGGAAGGTGAGAGACCATGGCGAGGTAGCATTCCCCGGAAGCCCTAAATTTGACAATTCTTTCCTATTGGTTTAAGTCACCTTTCTTTGACCACTTATTGGATATCAGAGCGCTGTGGCTAAACTGTGACTAACCGAAGATAGTGCTAACTAGCAAAGGGCCACATCACTAGCGTAAAACAGAAAAGTCAGCAAAATAGTTAGTCGGTTGCTAAGAAAAAAAAAAGGATATCATGTGGTCGTTCGGCATAAGCATGATAGTACAGTGCCAGTGTGGACCTTTTATTCACTCAACATTCTGAGTACAAACAGGGATATTAGCGATATATGCACTCCGTAGCCGATTCACGGAGGCTCTATCAATTTTGGGACTATAGGACCCACATCAAGGTCCAAACCCTCCATAGCCAATCTCCTCCTCGGGTTGCACATACTCTATATAGTAATCTTAGATATGGAGCTAGAGTGGACCAGCTCCACTGTGTGCAGGGCTCTCATGGACCTAACGGCTATGCGGCGTTTGAAGGCTCGTTGAGTCACAGCTCAATCATGGCTTGCTGCTTACTCCGTACTTATGTTGTAATTGAAAAAAAAAAGGCTGCGATATAGACTATATTATAAAGGAAAAATTGAAGGGCACGGATTTGATGTGCTATTTGTACTTTCCCGCCTAAGTTGAGACCTGTAGAACCTTAACCTGCAGTCTATGGATTTAGTTGCAAAGAGAGTCAAGATTTCGTGCCATTTTGTGGAGAGTTAGGAGGTTATATATCCATGTCCAGTTCACTGCCTTAAAACAGGCATATATGAATTTAAGCATGTTGTAGTGTGAACCGTTTGCTCTGCTCCACTATAGTCCATCGAGTGTTACCCCTCCAACACTACAACTCCGCATTTCTCCCCTGAGTCCCATCTCCATTGTATTATTCTTCTCTGAAGCTTTGCTTACTGTGCTGACGCCCTTCGATGGCGCTCAGATAATATGTCCCACAAGCATACATCCCTGGCCTTACTTCGCACATGCCAGAACATCGAAGAAGGCGAGCTTAACACGACAAATTGATGAATAGATAGGCTCACTTGAAGGACTTATATCAATCGACAGAAGAGGAGCATGCAGACCGCATTTGCTGAGATTTGCCCATTGCATGAAGGATTATGTCGGTTAATATCGCATGATCGATTGTTTCAATGTCCGGGGACTCTTCATTCTGGATAGGGTCTCCAGAAGTATGTCCTTGAGAATGTCCACCAGCAGGCTCCGAGCCATCTAACCCGAAACCGACGGATTGATGTGTACTGTTATAGAATACTGTTGCCACCCACGGCGAAACTACTACAGCTTCACAAACACAGGCTGAATGTGGCCCAACATAATTTCCGCGGTAGTCCTCAATCTAGACATCATACTCATTCCTTACTCCTTGTCTCTTATAATTACCAGCGAAGACAGAAATTAAGTTAATACTTGTGTTCTTTTTTTATACATCGAATGATGTATATCTTCAAAAGTGGCGAAAACCTGATTGACTATGACATGTGGACCCACCCCTGGAGGTAAGCACAACGGACATTCATTCCTCTTCGTTCGTCTCTCAGTCTTTTAACTTTTTCCTACATTCACTTATTCCAATATTGAATCTTTTAATACTTCACTTCGAAATGGCAGACTCCATCTCCAAGTTTCGTGATTTACCCCGCGCCGCGGGGCCTTTGATCTGCCCATACAAGGTGACAACAGAAGTCCGCAATATTTTATGAACTCCGATTCTCATACAGAAATAGGGAACATCGCTCCTCAAATCAGCCCAATTGAACAAAGGTTCAGCCTTTCCAGACAATGAGCGATCAATATTCAAGCTCCACAGTCTCCTCCCGCCAAATATCCAGACACTGGACGAGCAAGTTCAGCGCGCTTATCAGCAATACAAAAGCAGAGCTGATGACCTAGCCAAGAATACCTTCCTCGCTAGTATGAAGGCGCAAAATGAAGTGCTGTACTACAAGGTTCTGACATCTTCCCGGCAAAGGCAACATTGGCATGTGCATTGTTACTAACCTGTCGGTAGCTTGTGCAAACTCATCTCAAGGAGATGTTTAGCGTGATATACACGCCTACTGAAGGAGATGCGATTCAAAATTACTCGCGGTTGTTCAGGAAGCCGGAGGGGTGTTTCTTGAATATCAACGACCAGGATCACTTTGATGAGTACCTCGCTGAGTTTGGTACTGAGGAGGATGTTGATTATATCGTTGTCAGTGATGGAGAAGAGGTAATTATAGATGTGCATGAGCGAGAATTAGTTCCTGCTTTTGCTTACCGTTGATTCTTTTGCAGATATTGGGAATTGGGGACCAGGGCGTGGGCGCTATTCTCATATCGGTTGCCAAATTGGTTATTACCACGCTCTGCGCTGGAATCCATCCTTCGCGGCAGCTTCCTGTTGTATTGGACTGCGGGACAGATGTACGTTCATCTGTTCACCTTTTAAATCCACGTTTGCTGACAACATATACAGAACGAAGAGTTGCTAAATGACGCACTCTATCTAGGCCTGCGGCAGCATCGGGTCAGAGGGGAGAAGTACGATGAATTTGTGGATAGATTCGTCAAGGCCGCCCGCAAACGATTCCCCAAGGCTTACATCCACTTGTATGAGAAATGGTTTTTTCCCTCTATTATTCGAAACATAGCTAACAATATCAGTGAGGATTTTGGCCTGAACAATGCACGGAGAATACTCGATCGGTATCAGTCGCAGATACCTTGTTTCAATGATGACATCCAGGGCACGGGGTGTGTCACACTTGCTGCCATGTTGGCTGCCCTTCAAGTTAGCCAAGTCAAACTGGAAGATATACGAGTGGTGATTTTCGGCTCGGGCACAGCTGGTACTGGCATTGCCGACCAGATTTCAGATACCATTGCCAATGAGACACGAAAATCGAAGGATGAAGCGTCTAAGCAGATCTGGTATGTAACCGCGAGACAAGGATACAACACCCCTACTAACACTGCTTTTTCACCTAGGTGCATCGATAAGCCCGGTCTCCTTGTAAAGTCCCTTGGTGATAAGTTGACCGACGGCCAAAAGTCTTTTGCACGAGACGATGACGGGTGGCCGGAAGATGATCGAGATCTTTTGTCAGTCATCAAAAAGGTCCATCCCCATGTGCTTATCGGAACATCAACCAAGCCTGGGGCATTCACCGAAGATATCGTTCGTGCAATGGCCAGGAAGGTAGAACGCCCAATTATATTCCCACTTAGCAATCCGACACGACTCCACGAGGCGAAGCCGGTTGATCTCTATGAATGGACCGATGGGCGAGCCCTCGTTGCCACGGGCAGTCCATTCCCGCCAGTTACCCATAACGGCAAGGAATATGAAATCGGTAGGCATTCAAATCTCACTTCATGCATTAACTGCGCATTATATTAATTTACGATATTACAGCGGAGTGCAACAACTCAACCTGCTTCCCCGGCATTGGTCTCGGAGCAGTCCTCTCGCAGTGCCGTCTCGTCTCGAAGAAGATGCTAGTCGCTGCTGTGGAGGCACTCAAGGCGCGGTCACCGGCCCTGAAAGACTCCAACAAGCCGTTGCTGCCCGATGTAGAAGACGTGCGTGAAATAAGTGTGGATATTGCTGCGGCTGTGATTTTGTGTGCCGTCAAGGAGGGACTGGCAGAGGCAGAGGGCATTCCTACCGCTGACTCGGAGCTGCGAGAGTGGATTCGAGTCCAGATGTGGGAGGCTGAGTACCGGCCTCTGGTCTATAAGAATTAATCGCAAGGCTTCGTTGCCATGCACTGTGTGGTTCGGGAATTGATGAGATGGATACTCCCAGGGCTCTGATGCACCCCCATGATGAAATCATTGTGTATTAAAATTAGATCTAGAGGCAAGACTAAGGCAAAACTAGGGGTCTTGGGGCGATGAAATCTTTACCATCGAATAGCTTGGAGAACACAATAAGAGAGTAACCAGTGTATATCTCACCTTCTAGGATATAGTAGGATCATGAGTTATTTGTTCAGTCCAAAATACCACGAGTCTGCAGTTGAAACTCTCCGAATCTACACCCAAATAGTAGAGTTTTTAAAGTTGTATAAACGACCTAGGGGTTGTTGTAACGCCTTTAGAAGTTGACAGACACTATCATGCGTAAGTGTAATCATGCTGTGTTCAATACATCTGTCCGCTTTTAATTAACATAATTACCCCCCAGTAGGACCACAGTCATTGGGTTTGTTTCCCTCCTCGTTGACAGCTACTGAGACATCCGCTATCTCTCCGTTCGGACCCTCAACTCTATTCGTCATTGCCGCCGCATTATTTGTTGTGATGGTGTTTTCCACTATAGCTTTGATCAAATCCTTCGCGGGACCCCCTCCGTCATGCACTGCGTGGCTTCGTCCTTTTGGAGTCCAGGCCCGTACTTGCTATTGACAAACATGGCTCCGACGACGCCTGCTAAACAAACTGGACCTCCCGTGAGCACTGCAATGAATGGCCGATTCAAGAGTTCCCACAGCGTTTTTTGCCTCTATGGAGGCACCGACTGCCTTGTCTATGAGTGTGAGTGCCAAATTCCTTTTAGAGATCTTGATACCGAGCCCTATATAAATAAAGGATGCACAATGCATAGCTTAGTCTTAGAGGGCAATATATCATAAGCAAACTATACCGAGGCTTATCGTTGCATCAAGCTCCGTTATATATTTAGAGCACTGCTAATGTTCCAATTAATTCTTAATAACTATACTCTCTCCCCCCCCAAAGCTAGCTGAATATAAGCTCTGGGAGTTTTCCCCTACCACAACTACTGCACTCTAAATGAGAACAGAGAGAACATATGTGACCAAGCATGGGGTTAACCAGATTATAACACCTACAACACCTCCACCACTCTGGTATTCCTTCCCCTCTCTCACTGAGTGAGGCACTAGATGATAGTGCTGATTCACCCGGTGCCTCATTATTGTGCTCAGCGTAATCGGAGCTATCACTCTGAGAACGTGCTTCTTCCCATGGGGTCATGCACTTAATTTCTTGTGATTGTTCAAACCATGTTTTCTCAAGTATGTGGTTATCGTTTTTGAGAAGATTCCCTCTGAATATCAGCTTTATTCGACTCGTGTCGGTTACACCAAATCTTTCGGCTGCCATCGCCCGGATTGCGCCAACGGTCACCTCCCCCTCGTAACTGATACTTTGGGGACTGGAAACTGATATTGAGTCCCTTGGTAACGAAGAAAAATTTGCTCCATCCCAAGATCTTCATTGGTACTGGGCGAAGAGACCTGGGACAATATGGATTCGCCATCGCCTCCGTAAATTTCTCGCAGCACAGAATCCAAGTCTTTGGTTTCTATTATTCGATCATAGTCGGATAGAGGACTGATAGCCATGGAAATTTGGTAAAGCTGGGTGACTGTTTCAACGACGGTTTTGAAAATATGAGAAATCTCGCTTTCATTGAACTCAAGACCCGCAATGTTTTGGTCTTCATCGAGTTGATCTTGCAACACCCTTAGTGCTTCTTTGTCATCGTCGTCGTCTTCTTCGTCTGTGGTTTCTCCTCCATCTTCATTCAGCACCTCCTCAAATGTTTTGATGAGCTGTTCAAGCCTCTGTAATATCTTAATTGTCTGGCATTTGATGACTGGCGCATCTTTTAGGCGGTAGTCTAGTGATAAAACTCCTCTGTGACGCGCGCCAGTATTTGTTGCCCAAATGCGAAACCGGCCTCTTTCATCTATCCATTTTTGCTTGGGGAAATCGTTTTCGTGCTCCGCGAACGCCGGTAAAAGCAGTATATCATCGAATTTAGAGAGGAGACTGTGAGACCATGCGGATACTTCCATGTCTTTTCGTCCAGTCGCTATAATTGAAAAGGCTTCCAGTCGATTGAATTCGCACTTGCATAGTCAGGATGCTGATGCTTGAACCTCGTCTGAGTGGCATTCTTCTGAGCGAATTGATTGGCCCCTGAAGCGACAGTATGAAGCTGAGCTCAGCACATAGGTGCGGGGCAGTCCTCCAAGCTATTGCCTTGTAGTCAGCTCATTGTCCTCTGCTTCCTTAATATCACATGGGCAGAAATGGTCAGTGGCATTGAAGCTGCAGGGCTTGCACTGGCTGTGATTCCTCTTCTGGTAAATCAAATCGATGGTTATGCTCGAGGCATCGAGAAGATACGACTCCTGAGACACTATCACAGAGAGCTCTTGACATACCATATGGGTCTCAACACACAATACGCCATTCTTCAATGTACACTGGAGGATGTGCTTGAGGATTTCGGGGATGATGAAGAGACAGTTACCACTCTCATTAAAAATCCCCAAGGCGCTGGGTGGAAAGATCCAAATTTACAAAAGGCGCTTCTACGCAAACTTGGACGAAATTACAGGCCGTTTCTCGGAAACATGAACTCTTTGTCCGAGCTATTGGAGCGGCTCTCAGGAAAATTAGGGTTATCCGCGACGGAGACTAATGTAAGCAACCTTGGAACCTTGCAAGCCACTTTCCATCCATCCATGGATTAGGCCTGGGAGCTAATCTCCCACATAAAACTTTGTTCTGATGCATTTAACTGTAATAGCTAATCCTTCAAAAGCAGAGCTCGACTGATCTCCGTTCATTTTGGAAGTTCTGGAAAATCCTTTCAAGGGCGGTATATGACGACCTGCTGGAGAAAATCGATGCGGCGAATACTATACTCCGAACATTGATTGATCAAGTAAATCATCAAGAGGAGAGACGAAAACGTCGAAAACCTTGGACCAGCCTTCTTAGGCGGTACCAAAACGAGCGACAGCACGTTGAATTCTTATTTCAGGCAATCGGTGGTTCCTGTTGGCAATGTCACTGCCGGGAACATCACTCCGTCCATCTCCGACTCCAGCCCTATCTAACCGAGTATGCCAATGATTCGCCTCGAAATAATTCCGAGTCCATGTTTCATTTCATCTTCTCCAACATCCCTAGGACAACAGGTGTATGGGATTGGAGAGAGGTGATTTTTCAGCCTCAAGCAATAGACAACCCGCAAATTTTGACGCCTTCTTTGGCTGGGCAGTCAAACGAACAGCAAATCCCAGACCTTTGCTCATCACTCCAGAGTTTTAAGCCACTTTTTCAACAACAAACCACAATTGGATTCATATCAGAAGACTTCAACCCAGCCTATCGATACACTATGCACGCGGTACAAAGTTTGCAGCGAGATTCCTTGAAACAATCTCTGCGTGAAGCTCTGACTTCATTTAGTCGCCGTGACCGATTATGTATTGCCGCCAGCATTGCCTGCGCCGTCCTGCAGTACCATGGAAACTGGCTCAAGGATCAATGGGACAGCTCCAATTTCCACCTAGCCGCTGAAACACTGGATATTCTATATCTCTCGTGGCCTCTATCTGCTCTAGTTGCTTTGAAAGGCTCATCTACAATGTCTAGCTCGGATAAACGAGAGTCTGTTTTACAATCCCTTGGATTGAGCCTCGTGGAGCTCTCGCTCGGTCGGCCTTTAGATGCATTACTCTCACAGGATGAGACTCAAGACGATAAAAAAGCGATTGTTGACTATGCGTTGAAGCTTACTAAAGAGGTACGCCTAGAAAGTGGCTGGCACTATGCTAGTGTTGTGGATAGTTGTCTTTCCTGGTCTGGCGTGAGTACCATCTGCCGGGAAAGTCATAACTTCGAGGAGCGAATTTTTGATAAAATTGTCTCCCCTTTGCTGAAGGATGTGATGATTTTTGACGGCAGAGCTTGATAGCCACTAAGGAATGTATGAAATAAATGAATGATCTTGAATTTATCATCGTGCAAGCAAGCCCGTATTTGGTCTCGTACATGTGTACAACTAGCAAATGGAGAAGTAACGGTCTGAAAAACGCCATACGAAGCTAAGGCTGTCATGCAAATGTGATTGATATGTTACAAATTGTTCAATATGGGAACCTATGTGAGCCAAAGAGAAAGAGAATCCGAGCTAGAAAAATTCGAGAGATTGAAATAGTTTCACCTACGGAACCCATAGACGCATAAATCCTACGACTTCCTGCCTACAAGTCACACAGCTGCCGAAGTTGTTCATGGCAAGGCTCACGCGACAGTCCTCGCAAATGCACAGACAGCGACAGGGCCAGGTGATGATAGCCCGTGGGCTTGTTTGGCAAACCACACATGGTGGACCATTGGGGCCGAGACCTGTTGCGCCAGATTCCCACGTGTGGGCATCGGAGCTAGCCGAAGTTTCCGAGCGACGGGAAAGGATCAGCTTCTCAAGGAGTTCAGCTTCTTCTTCGGGGGTAGGTTTCCGCCCTTCGGATCCCGAGTGCATGGCGTTGAGCTGCTGGAGGCGGGATGAGAAGATGATTCGGGATCTCTCCTTTTCAACTTGTTTCTGGTAACGACTGCGCGTCATGATCTGTGGATTCTCCTGGTTTGTTTTGAGATGAGCAGCTAGAATCCTAGCTTCCTCTCTACTGTCGCGATCGCGCGGGTCAAGAAGACGGGCGAGTGTGCTCATGTCGAGTAGGGGATCTTGGAGTGGTGGGCTTGCTCTATCTGCATACGGGTGGAGCTGGGTAGGAGTCCGACGACCATCATCTGACCGGTAATCCTCCCATTCCGACTCTGAAGCATTGGTAGACATGGACACCACGCTCGTGGTGTCGAAGTCATCAGAGGGTGGTGAATAATCCGAGGTTTGATCTTGGTTTCCCCATGCACCGCCAATTTTCCACCAACTGTACAGTCTGTCGTCTAACCGGCTTTCGTCCGAGCCCATCCAATCTGGCCGATTCGCACGCTCTCGCTTCCTCATCTCGACCTCCACGTCAAAGTCATGATCATCGGGGAGCTCAAGCTCTCCACTTTCAGAGAGGATCCAGAAATCTAATGGCTGTGATGGGTTCGTCTTGTCGACATTAGACTTCTTTCCGCGATGGCCAACAATGCGTTTGAGCCACATTGGCCGAGCGCTTATTCCCAGTCGATCAAGCACGTTATTGAGCCCATATGCAGCCCAGCGGAGCATTATAAGTGAAATTGCGCGGAAGAACGAGAGGACATGCCACAATCTAATAGATACTCGCACTGCGCCAACTCCCCCAAGCTCAGCTCGAGATTGCACGGCTCGAGTACCGTTTTTGGGTTTTTCGACCTTCTTTTCACGGTTGTAACCACTCTCCCAAGCAGATTGTTCAGGCATATCGAAACTTGAGAAGCCCATGGCTTCGATAGGCCGACTGCTAGCTTCGCTCTGCCAACTCCCATAAGATGTAGATTTCCGCCTTGAGGCTTCGATCTCAGAAAGCCGATCCTCTTCTAGCCACGTCATCCGCCGTGCAACAACTGATTGGCCCTCATTCAAGAACACGGCCTCACTCGCGGCGGTTAGGGCAACATAGCCGATTCGAAGCAACGTTGTATAAAAGTCTTCGTGTCTGTTTATACGAATGCTCCTTATCTGGTTCGAGCCTTGCATATTCTCGTGGGCCATCAAGAAACGGTCATAGATTGAGACAGGTTGATCGTCCGAAGGCAACGAAACAGCGGTGATGGTAAGTGCTAGAGTGTATATTGACAGACAAATCACGATGCCGAATAATAAAAAGATGTGAGGGATGAATCCCACAATGCAAACAGTCGGGAACCTGAGGACGCCGGTTTCGAGGCTGACGGGCGGACCGCCATCTAACCCCCACGACATGGCTACCATGAAGCAGGCACCCCAAAAGGCGGTGCTGAAAAGCCGATACTTGCTCTGTTTGCCGAAGACTTCTAATATGTGGGAAGTTGCACTATTGCAGCACGAGATCAATACAATAAGTAGCAGTTCGGGTGTGACATTCATGCGTTCCAAGACTTGTGATCTTGTGAGGAGTTCAAAAACGGAAGTTGAGCTGTCATCAGACCCACCCGAAAGCGCGCTGAGTGGGCTTTGTTTAGGAAGACCGAACAGGCCTAGTCCAATGGATTTACTGATCATCGACTCGGCTTCTGCAAAGGCGATTGAGTGTTCGAAGATGGACATCCCTGTCTCGGTCATCACGGGCCTGCCTTGTAATGCGCACGAGAGTGTTTCAATAAAGTGACTCAAGCAAAGGAGCATGAATGTTGGCCATAGTAGGGAAAATGATCCATATGGGACACCAGGGATAGTTCCGCGCGCCATTTTCACAGCACTGCACGACCGTTCCTCAGACTCCCATCCTAGAAGGGTCGAGCTAATTGAGTAAAGAACACCCCCATCACTAGAATAATCGAACACCAGTTGTTTTCCGGGGTATCCGTAACGCATTGTTGAAAAGGATGGCGATGTTTGACATCGGATTCCACGGAGCAGGCTGAGGATTTGGGAGGCGAAGAGAACGATAGGAATCAATCGGAGAGCCGCACGCCTTTCCCATCCTAGTCGAAGGTGTCGTCGTGTGGATGCATAGATAGTAATTCGGTTGAGAATGAGCGCCTAGACCTATCAGCATGGTAAGTATACAAGTTGAAAGCGGGGCCTCACCTCTACTAGGCAGGCAAATGACCAGAGACTTGTCAGATACCCAAAGAATCCGCCGAGCTTCTTCATAGCACCTAAAAACTCAGCAATGTAGTAGCCACTCTGCTGGCCGGCTGCATCGGCGAGCTCATTTCCCGCCATATCCGCTGCATGCGTCGCGGCGGTACCGCTGGCTCCAGCTGCTAAACCAGTTCCACTCCGGATGGTTTGACCAAGTGCTTTGATTCCGGTTATTCTGGCGAGGGTTTGGGGGACCGTTCGGAAGGCAAAGGTCTCGGCGTGCTGAAAGGCGCGAAGGGGGGAGGTCAAGAGTTGATGCGGTAAAGAGGACAAAGAAGAAGTGTCTGGCGAAATGGTTGTATTCAAGTTTTCCAACAAAGCCGTACTAGATGTGGTTGGTATTGTGGAGGGCTCCACGATGCTTGACATGATGAGGCGGTGTTGTATGCGCCTCTGCGGGTGACCCTTATCAGTGATCCGGGGGAGATGCAATCAACAGAGAAGGTCGCCAGTGCATCCAACTGTGGGCACAGGCAAATAAACTGTTCAAAAGTCGAAAATTGTTCTGACTAGACTGAAGACCACAGTGAGCAATGCTCCTGTGAACTGCATCCCGCAAATCAGAATGTATGAAAGAGTGATCTTCGCGATGGCGGGCACTTCCTTGGAAGTTCGCCCCGGTGGAGCCGGCCCCAGCCCTCGGTATTTGTTATTTGCTGACTCAGCCGCCATAATTCAGGTGCTCAGGTGGACCAGCTTCCATCTTCAAGTCGATACGCTCTACTCAATAGCCATCTTAAGTACGGAGTATAGAACTCTACAATATAATATGGATATGATTCGTTGTTCAATTTGTCTCCTATGATCCAAACCCTTGGCCAGTGGTAGATTGACAAGCGCGTTATCATTGGAAGTTTTTTTGATCTGCCATCATCTTTAGACAAAATCGGCCATAGAAGTATTAACCGTTTGCATATGCTCAGATGGGATAAGAGGTCGTTTGCAAAAATCAAGGATACTGCTACAGCAAAGAAAGAATTGCATAATGTTAGATGTATTCTATCCCATAGAACACATGTCATGACATAACGCCATGGCCAAGCATATTTATGTGAGCCAAGTCCGGAACTCCCCGTGCTATTGTCGTAAAAATCGAATATCGTATGCCGTTGCGTCGTGAATCATTTCAAAGACGATGCGAACCGAAACAGAGATCGATACCAGAGGTCTCATCCACAGAGGTGATAAGAAACCCAAGGTCCGAGGCACCATGTCGAAATTAGGTATTCAAGAAATCCGCAGCCATCAAGAGCTCCAGGCACAACTCCGGTGGGATATCCATGTCCGGCACATTGACCTGGTCCTTGTGCTTTTCATTGTAGCAAAGGTATTCGCAGATCTTTTCGACAATGACGCCACTGTAGAGAAACAACTTCGTCAGCAATGTCCACCAAATGAAAACGCAGGATATAACCGCGAGACGTACGAGAAGTCTTTCAACACAAATTTACCATCGCGACCCTCGGGGAAATTGGCTGTGGGTAGTTAGTACAACCCATACAGCAATAGATCTCGAGTCCACGTACTCGAAGAAAGCGGGATGCGTAAGGTCTCTGAGACATAAGCTGTGCTGCGAGGGATAATGAATTCAAATCCGTCATCTGAGACTATAGTCACAAACTCGGAATCCGTTGGTTGCGCCATGATGAAGCACGCGTATTCGCGTAGTTGTAGGAAGTTGACCACTGTGGAGCGAAAGAGCCTTCTTGAGGTTGGCGTGTTGGTCCGTGCTGAAGCTGCCCCAGTGACGCACCCGATCCTCCCGATATCGCGTTTTGTCTGGAGCTTAAGGACAAAGTAAACAATATGAGCTGTTTGAGAGTTCCTTCAATTCGCTTGCGAGTGCCAATCCTGTTTATTCAAACCTTATCAAGGCCGATCAATATACGCAATGTCGGCCCCGTCAACAGCCAAGTGTCAAGTTATTCCCTGAGATATACAAAGCGATCATACTCGTCTCAGCCGAATGAAAGCAACCACATTTCATTCCAGTCTGGAAACCGACTTGTCGGCCGAAAATGCATGGTCACCGGTGGGACATCCGGCATCGGCTTCGCTATTGCCGAACGGTTTCTACAAGAAGGCGCATCGACCATAGTCCTCGTCGGCCGGTCTCAAATACGCCTAGAGGAAGCAGCCACAAAACTCAAGTCTCTTGCAGTTACACCAGCAGAACTTGGTGAACATAATGATGAAGTCGCAACTCGCGCTCCGGAAGAAGACAACCAGCAAAGCACGCAAGGAAAGATCCGCCTACTTGTCGGAGACGTCTCAAATGCCGGATCATGGATGCGCGAACTCGAAAAGGAAATGGTAAGCTACCTCATCTATCTCGACAAATACCCACTCTTAACCATCATCCAGGCAAATGTGGACATCCTAGTCAACGCAGCGGGAATTTCGATATCAAACATTTTGCCAAGATCGGAGCTGGAAGATATCTCCACAATCCTACGTACTAATCTCGAAGGCGCAATTCTCACTTCACGCGCGTTAATGCGTGCCTCTATCCGCAGCCGGATTCGGAATCGGAGTGGTCCAGCTGCGGGGACCAAACCCCCGTCGAAATGCATCATTAATGTCTCCTCTTTACTCGCACTCAAAGGTGGAACTGGCGCGGTTCCATACGCCGCTTCCAAGGCTGGCCTTCTCGGTCTAACACGGTCGCTGGCTGTCGAAGCATCAGCTTCAATGAAAGATATTGTGATTCGGTCAAATGCTATTGTGCCGGGGTATATTGAAACACCTATGGTTGCAGGTATGTTGGTTTGGGCATTCTGTATTTGTTCGTGCCTTAGCTGATCTCGATACTAGACTTCACACCCGGGGAAACGAGCAGGCTAAAGGATCTCATTCCTCTTCATCGATTCGGAGATCCATGCGAGATTGCTGATGCAGCTGTGTTCTTGGCGCAGAATGAATATGCTAACAACTGTGTGCTCAATCTCGATGGCGGATTGAGTGCCGTTTGATTCGATTCAAGTGAAATATGTAATACCAATGAAGCAAGTGTATTTGTAAAAAGTTCAATATCTACATGTATAAACTGAATGTTTGCTATGATGGAGGCGAGAAGACACCATATAGTTGGAGATCTCGCGAACGTCGACTCCGAACTACTTGCCCATACTTGCCCTTACCAGTCTCCACTCCTTCAACTAGCTTCTCAATTCCGCAGGATTCAACGTAAACGCGAGCTTAATGCTTTGCTCAGGCTGTGTGTTGTTATTCCCATGCCATATTCTAGTAATCTATCAACCTGGAAAAACGCCATTGAGCAATTCAGATACAAAAGTCCCATAATGCATTATCATGTCCATATCCAAAGCATGCCCGTCAACTTGGGATTCTGAACCCCTCCGCTTGACTGAAATCAGGTTCGCCTTTATGCCATATGATACAGAAGGATTTGAAGGGGATAGGTAGTGAGAAAATGAAAAGGGGAATACCGAAAGTATGAAGAGAATGATATCAAGATAAACAACTGTGGTAGCTGCTAGTAATACCCTGAAATGTCACGTGAAATTATGTTTGCAACATTCAATCGTCGATCATGATGGCACCTCCCTCTTCATCGTTGGCATCGTCGTCAAGAACAATAGCTTCAATGCCCTTCGAGTCAGGAACGGATGCACTGGCGAGCCGTTTAGCATCGTGGCTGCTGAGCTCCACCTCGTCACTTGAGCCCTCACGCTTGCGCTTCCCAGTCACAGTCGGATCATCTGTAGATGGCTGCACAGGCTGCTCGGGCTTCGCTTGCTCGGGCTTCAGGGGTATCTCAACCAACTTCTGCAGTGTTGCGGGCTTGGAGTCCTTAGAAGATGGCTCATTTCTGCAAGTCAATCAGTCAATATTGCCCAGTGTTATTGAAAAGACGGTGCTTACCTCTCAATGATCACCAACTCAAGATTGACTCGCGTGTCTGGTTCATTTTCATCGAGGATCGTGACGATGCTCTCATTCTTGATGCCTAGGTCAGACAACCTTTTTACCAGGTTGTCGGTGAAGTCGGCGTCATAGATCAGTTGATTGCCAAAAGTAATAGCAACCTCTTCTCCATAACCCAGCTCCGCCAGAAGAACGCCCTGGATGAGGTGTTCAAGAGTTGCTAGCTCGGGGTCAATTTCAACCCGAGCCACTGCGGGGGAACAGACAGCACAGTCAGGATTTGGGGGGTTTAATGAGTCTGAGTTGATCACACGAGCACCAGATCTCTCGAGGAAAATCTTTGAGAGAAACAACGTGTTAGCTTCAGTACTAGTGAGCACCATTTCTCAATTCTTACCATTTTGGTATGCATTATGTCGTTTTGAAACACCTTCAATGACTGAAGAACACATAGTCCAGCCGTCATGGCATTGGTGGTTGCAATGGCAGGAATGATATTGCCCGCCATTTCTGTAGAAGCTTTGTCAATAATGATCGACTTGGAATGTGCACACTTATTTGATGAACTTACGCTTGACATCGAATTTGGACTTGAGTTCGACTTGGAAGGAAGCAGCTCGGAGATTTGCTGCTGCGGTAACAAAGTCCAAAGTGTCTACATCATCTTTATCGAATGTTAGGATCGGGGAATCTTGGTCTGAGGCGTTCTTTTCTTGAAGTTGCTTCAGACGATGGGTCAACCGGTTCAAGCTGTAGCGTGTTAGCTTGTCGAACATATGCCGTCGGCGACAACCGGTTATTACCTGTCCCTGAACACACTAAAATTCTCCCCTAATGTCCACACTTTCTGGTCCTGCGTGGAGATCGTCGAAGCAATCGAAGCGGATTCTTCTTGTAGTCGAGCAAAGTCAAGGGGTTCTGGTAGCTCCCTTTCCTTCCACATTTCCTTCATGCCCTGTAATCGCATAATGTCTCTTCGAAAAACTTTATCAAAGACCTTCTGATGGGCTTCCTCGGTGCCAATAGATTGTCGCAACTCTTTGAGCTCTAGTGCTTCCTTGCGTAGGTCTGCAATTTCATTTGCTGGCCGGGTGTCAGTTCCAGCGCCGAGTTGTGAGTGAAATTGAACAAACCGTTATCAGGATTTTCTGTATTGTCCACCTCCGGTGCCTCGTCTTCGCTATCGCCGAAAAGTTCCCTACTCAAAGGTGAGCATCCAAAATAGAAATACCAGGAACTGAATCTTACGGCAAAAGGAAGCTCTTTGCCCAAACGATACAATGAATCGGCTGGCTTGGGTTGCTTCGGATCGTACACACGGGGAACGACTTGGGGGTTTCTTTCGGTGTGCAATCATAGCACTCGGTTTGCGACTAGCAGAACACACAGTTAACATACGCCCAATCTGCAGAGCCAGAAGTTGCTTTAGGGAAATACCTTCTGAATGACTTGAACCTGCCCATTGAAGCCAGTAGTTCCACTTTCTATCAAGGGTACATTGGCCGTAAGGCACATCTTGTTCACATGACGTCTCGCGGCAATGTTGTCTAGCGCATTAAACACGACGTTGAAGGACCCGAACCACGAGACGTTGAACTGGGCGTCCATAATGTTCGCATGGTAGGCCTCGAGCTTTGCATCAGACCGGAACTTTTGCGCAACTTCCTTAGCAACCTAGATAAAAGCATCCATATCTCAGTATTCCATATCTACTATCGTTGAACCGCTCAGACAATGTGAATGCGCGGCGCTTGAGTCGGGGAGGATCGCAAGGGAGCGGCGCAAGTGCGCGGGGTGGGTCGGTTTGACGTACTAAGGCCTTTGATTTCTTAATATGCTCATGTCGAAACAGGAACTGACGATTGAGATTACTCAAATCAATGGTGTCGAGGTCGATGATGTGGATTTCGCCGAACCCGGTGAGGACGAGGTTTTTCAGTAGCTCGCAGCCGATGCCGCCTGCGCCGACAAGCAGAACGCGTGACTATAAGTGATGAGATAACTGTCAGAGTACATTTTCAGGCCAGCGTCACTTGGGCGCCAGGATTACGCGCCAGCAGTGCTGTACTTACCTCTTTGAGGGAGCGGGTGAGGTCCACCCCGAGGGAGCGCTTAAGGGAGCTATCCCGCATGGCGGGCAGTAGATAATGATCGCGATCAAGTGGTGTTGTAGTGTTGTAATTGTTGGATGGTGTAGTGATGTGGTGATGTAGTGGTGTGTGTGTTCTAGAGATAAATTGCGAAGGGGGAAAAGGTCAAAAGAAGGGAGCAAGTGGAAGAAGTGCTGAGCCGGAAACAGTGACCGTTGTCGATGACGGCACTTGCTAGGAGCCTCACACGTGGGTTTCCACTTACTTTCACTCTACACCTTTGATTTGTTTTATATATTTTTCTTTCTTGTGAAGAGACGAATAGACGAATAGAATATACAATGTATAATGTAATTGATGTTGTTTGGTGATATTGTCTACAAGTGATTATCTTTGTATTGCGTCAATGTATATATATATGTAGGGGCGCGTATACTCCGATCGCCCTCTTTTGGAGAACGAATGAACTTGAGTTTGATCTCAAAATAAACGGTGCCTGTTTCAGGGTCATGACGATGCTATCCATATATTCTTCTAATCAGGTACCAGGTAGGCCAGACCCGCAGAGCCCGTGTTACTATAACTTACACTGTAATGTACAGACCTCTCTTGTGCTCATAACAACTACATATTGTACTGTGAGACACAAATATCACAGGCCTATACTACCATGGCGTATATCTGAAAGCATTTTAAATACATGGGCATACAGGGCTATTGTGTCTGCTTACATAACCGGTGACTCTATCAGAGACCATCGGATCAAAATCTCGGTGTGGCGAGAAAAAAAAACACGGATCGTTCAAAGGGTTGGTCGTGTTCAAGTATTTTTTTGATATACACGTTTTCTTGTTCTAACCTCAAAAGGATTTCAATAGCCAGGTGGGGTGGAATATCTGCCGGGACTAGCTACTCACCGCAGGAATCCTTTCAATATCAAAGGAGATACCCCTGACCCCATATCTTCCCATTTGTTTGCAATCAAGATCAAACACGAATATCATGCCATCATTGGATCCAATTCCGGCCCAGCGAAATGATCAGGTTGAGGCCAATTCCGACGATGAAGCCGATCCTGAGTTGGTAGAGCTTCTTCGCCAGCATTTCGGACTGGGCGAAAGACCAAAGGATGCCCCACCAGAGACCAAAGTGCTTGAGGGGGCTCAGTATGTCTTCGACAATGCGATTGATATCGCAATCAGCCTTGCTGACACCAAAGGTGCTGCTGAAACTATATGGCGTATGATGCAGAAGAAAGAGTATTCTACGCACACCTGGTCGGAGCACGAATTACACCCACAGACCAAAGATGAGAGCACAGTCGATTTCATCTTTACAATGGACTTGTTGAATTTTAGTTTCTGGTCTGAAGAGGAGGAAGAGCCAAAACGTTTCTGTATTGAATATCGTGGTAAGCTCTGGACTGGCTATTGGAGTCTGGTTGCTGCGCTACAAAGAGCTCTTGATGAAGGTCAGTCCCGTTAAATGAAATGAACCTCTGGCATGACGGATGCTTACCCCAACTTCAGATATCCCAATCACAACCCCCGACTTCTGGGTGGATGAAGAGAGGTGCACGGAGGATCTACTCAAACATGTATTCCGATCTGCAACAGACGGAGAGATTCCTATGTTCAAGGAACGAGTGCAGTGCCTACGTGAAGCAGGCGAGGTCCTTTGCGAGGTATTATCCCTCACTACCTTGACTCTACGAGTTATACTAACCGGATATAGGAATTCGGCGGTAGCTTCGCCAACTGCATTGACAGCGCCAATCTCTCCGCCGCAGGACTAGTCAATATATTGACAGAGAGCTTTTCCTGTTTCCGCGACGAGACAATCTTCCACGGAAAGAGAGTCCGACTGTACAAACGTGCTCAGATTCTAGTTGCCGATCTCTGGGCCTGTTTCAATGGTGAAGACTTTGGTGAATTCCACGACATTGATAAGATCACCATGTTTGCAGGTATGGCTCTTGCAAGCCTAACCATTCCCTGGAATCCGTTCTAACATTCTACCTTAGATTACCGCATTCCGCAGATGCTACACCAGTTGAACTGTCTTCGCTACGCACCTAAATTGGAAAACCATATCCGTGATCTGAAGCCCATCGAGCCAGGTTCAAACTGGGAGATCGAGCTTCGTGGAACGAGTATCTGGTGTGTTGAATTGATCAAACGAGAGATCGAAAAACAACACCCCGAGGTCAAAATGAACCGCCAAACCCCCACTTCTTCAAAGAGTATTTCAAACGGCAGTGAGAACCCCGAAACCGAGAACTCGGATGAGTCGGGTGATAAATTGAAGATCGTGGAAAAACCGCGAAAGACATATGGCATCAATGCGATTCTCATCGACTTCTTTTTGTACGACACGATGAAGAGTCTAGAGGCAGAGAAAAATGAGTCCATTCCTCATCACCGGACGAGGAGCATTTGGTACTGAGAATGAGTGGTCATTGGTTTTGGCGCCATTGACGGCGCATGGAGTTGGGTTACCACAATATTGACATGGGACATTGGGTTGCTCTGGAGCAAAAGGAGCATACAATTAAAACATAGACATGACAAAGCCGAATTCTTTGCTTATCGAGGATGAATATAGAAATAAATGTTGATTCATATCTTGGGGTATCAATTGAACTAGTAGGCTGCATCCCCTTTGGGATAATGTCACGTCGCATGACGATTAAGCAGCTGCACCTCCGATGCGAGCGATGATATCTGCTTTCCAATTCACATAGTCCTCTTGACGATCGTCACTCAGCCAGTCAATTCGATCCTGCATCATCGTCCCCAGGCCAGGCAAAAGACCGCCCCGTGGAACATGATCTGACCGCGATGCACGAGCCCCACTCCCAGCCGCCGAACGTTTCGGCGGCCTAACACCCCTAAGTGTCGCATCCTCTTCATCCAGGTCTTGGTAGGACCTGCCCTCCTCATCTTCACCGTAGAGCTGTCCAGCATAGGGGATATTCTCGAACCATTCCTGGCCGTTGGCCCACCCTTGCTCCATGATAAGAGTGATCCATTGGTCAACATCATCACGATGTCTCCGGTCATTAGCCTTCAGCCCAAGGCTGTTCAATGCCGTCTGACGCATTTCAATAAAAGTCTTCTTGTCCATCTTCTGCGCTTCGATATCCGCCTCTGCATCTGGCCCGGGGTTACGCCGACGGGCAAGCACAAGGAAGTATACAGCCACAGCCATGGCGTAGACCAGTTCTTTGAAATCATCGTCCTTATCAGAGCCATTGATAGAAACAATAGGCTCCAGGAAATCCAAGCTCTCCCGGTCCCACCCCGGTTCGTCGTTGGACATGCTTGACGTAAGATAGAGGACAGACGATACGCCAGAAAAGATATGCGGGGGCAAGGTCCTTGAGATTGGAGGCCTAGACCAGGTGTTTGTACGAGGGGCAGGTGTCGAGAGAATCTTGCATACAGTCCGAATGGCTGTCATTACCCAAGCCGGGGCATCTGGAATGATGGTTGACCCATGAATATCCTTTGTTCGGGGGACTGTGGCCTTTCTTGCTGTTTTCGAGGGACTCTCAAGCCTGTTTGCCGTGCTCATACTTCGTTTTAAGGGTGTTGACTTTGAAGGTGTATTTTGTAGCCCTCGTGGTGTTGGCGCTACTGCCTTGGAAGGGGTGTTCCTGGCAGCCGTACCCTTCGTTGGTGTGGTTTGCGCCGAACTGGCGCGTGATGGTGTGCCTGGAGCCGAACCGCTTGCTGAGGGTTTTAGGCCAGTGGAGCTTGATGTGAGAGATCGGTCGAGGTATGAATAAAGCTTTTTGTATACGCGCGGAGGACATGGCGCATGTCCGAGCAGCGGAGGAAGTTTAAGAGCTCGGGTCAACCTATAGAAGTCAGGCGTAAGCAATCAGCATCTAAAATTAAGCCAGCCATAGAAAGACTTCATTCGGGACTTGTAGCACACCTTCTGCAAGCGATTTCGGCACAGGCATATGGCCGAGCGATTTCCTCTTCGGGCTTTAGACTGCTCGAGAAGCTTCGGGACTGTGCCACTAGTGACATAGCATAGCTGAGTAGTTCTTGTGGGAGATCATTGGCGTGGGTCGGCACCAATATGCTCAACGCCTGTTCCACCGGTCGATTGTTCATTGTTCTTGAGATGTGGATCAAGTTTGCTTTGCTTGAGGAAGGGGCGAAGTAGGATATGGCCGTACTCAAGCAAGACAGGAACGGTCAAGAAGGCAAAAAGCAAAAGGTAGTTTCCGAGAGCCTTCCGGCGTATCTAAATTTCAAATTGAGCCAACTGTGTCTGAATTGAAGGGATTGGACTGACGACCAAACATCTGCAATTACCTGGCGCATCGATAAGAAAATATGACTAAGCACTCTATCGGGCCCAGTGGTCGTGGTCTCGACGCGCATCTGGTCCTCTTGCAATTCAGCATTACCTCACAGCATTCTCCTCAATATGTCTGTTACAGTAAGTTCACATATGAATCATACATCGGACTCTGTCTGAAACTCTTCTCTTTATGGCGTGATGCTAATTACGGTTTCAATAGTTACATACCACACATGGCGACCTCAAGGTCGAGCTTTTCTGCGAAGCAGTGCCCCAAACCGCAGAGAACTTCCTCGCCCTCTGCGCATGTGGCGCATACAACAACACCCCATTTCACCGCCTCATCGCAGGATTCATGGTCCAGGGCGGAGACATCTCCCTCGGCCCCGCCGCGCATCAAACAAGTACGAAACCAATGCTCGATTTCGAGATCCCGAAAGGTGGCACATCGATCTATCACCCGGCAGCAATGAACCAAGAAATCCATCTCCCATCCCTGCGACACAACGCACGGGGCATTCTCTCAATGGCATCTCGTCCGGTGAAGGACAGGACGGCGCCTGGCTCTCAGGGTGCAACGGGCGCAACGATCAACGGGAGCCAATTCTTTATTACGTTCGTGCCGGCACCACATCTTGACGGTGCCAGTACTGTGTTTGGGAAAGTGCTGAATTTGACCGCTCAGGACGAAGGCGGTGATGTTCTTGCCAAGCTTGAGAAGGCGAATGTCAAGGTTGACAAGAAGGGCAAAGTTTCTCAACCTAAGGAGGGTGATAGTTTTGAAGCATTCAAGATCAATAACGTTACTATTCACGCGAACCCATTTGCCACGTGAATTTTTGACACTCGAATCTTCTCAAGAATGCTGGATGATATCCCAGGATCGAGCTGCGGGAGCGTGGTCGAGCTGCGAGAGCCACGCTCCGGATGAGCACAGCTATTATTTTAAGCTGAAGACACCTCAAATCCTATCATGTGATACCCAAAACCACCCTCTCCCCCGTCATCCAAGTTCAGCTGCTTACCGACGTCTCCTGCTGGCTTTATCGATATGTCTTACCAGCGTCATTATGTGGCACTGTGAAATACGGCACACACTGTTAAAATTACTCCCAGAAAGTGGGCCAAGAAGATGGGTGGACACATTTTGTCTGATGTTGAACACTTGCTAGCAGACGCTGTGCACGACTAGATCTACTTGGGGTAGATCTACTTGGGGGATCAAAGGAACGCAGAGAGACGGAACGGGAAAATATATCGAGGTATCGAACATATCCAATAATGTCAATTATCACCATAACCCCGAATTAGATGACGAGATCCGAAAGCATATCTAAGTACAAGACAACCACTTATTCCTATTTATAACCCTCACATTCCATCCAATTGTGTCCAACCCTCTCCAAGGCGAAGTAAGTCCTGCAAAATCTCAACTTGCAGTTCTACTTTTGTCTGGTCTGACTGCGCCGCATAATTCAAGAATGACAGGGCCGAACATAACATCAAGAACCGAATGGTTTGAATATTTGCTGGTGCCGCTGCATTTCCAAGATACGCCTCCACAAAATCGGTTGTGCTTTCTTGCATCTCTTGTCGCGTGAGGCCATACTGTTCGCCCGTTCGTCGCAACATATGCACGAAATGGCCCAGGTCTCGTTCCGGTACGCCAATCGGCTCGCCATTCTCGTCCAAAGAACAGTGTAGTGTTGTTGTATCGATCATAGTGACATGTCCCGTCCCCCGATCATAAAAGAAATTTCCAGGATGGGCATCCCCGTGCACAGCAGCGGTGCGCGGACGATTACCAATATCACGCTTGCAGTCGGCAATAAGGTGATTTATTTTCGCGGGGAGCTGATCCACTTCGAGTCCCGCGCAACGAATAATGTCTTTGTATACCAATGCCTGCTGCACTCGGTTCGTTGCCGCGGTAAAATACCACTCGAGATATTCTGTGCCTGGTCGCCCTTCGACGCCATGAGTGTGTAACTTGGCTAAGGTACGCGCGACTGCCTGTACGCCAGCAGTGAAGACGGATAGCATCTCTCTTCTTGCAGGTCCCGGCGGTAGGCGGCCCATCTGCATGATGAGCTGGTAAAGGGAGACCCCGGGGGCAACTTGATACGTGACCACACCAGCTGGCTTGGTATCCCATGTCATTCGCCCAACGGCCAACGGGGCAGCAGTCCTGATGTCACCCTTGGTGTGCAGGAGAAGCCATTCAAGGCTCGACAACTCCTCTGTGATTCCGTTGTCCAAGCCGTGGACGAACAGTTTAACTACAGCAACCACACGACCTTTGGATGAGTCATTGGATGCCAACGGTGTCTCTTCGTTGGCAAGTTCATCGTTGGCATGAGCAAGAAAAATTATAGCGCCAGAAAAGCCACCCGGGTGAGTGGGATCCAGATCCTGCAAGTTGACAGGAGATCCCACGGCAGAAGAGACATGCTCTTCTAGCGCCAACATAGTCGGGGCTATTTCTGGAAGATTTTGCATGAGATCGTCGGCCTGTTTCAAGTTCGGCTTTCCACTGCGATTTCGTGTCCGTGCGGCTCGACGCATTGACGATACCACGCTCATCCCAAGTGATGGACGAGGCCATGATGAATATGCAGGTGCAACACTGCCATGAGCCATCTGCACTGTATCTCCCTCACCCTCCATCGCGGAGCGAAGCAGAGCTTTAGCCGCGTGTTTCCACGAATAACCTCGCATGATCCGTTGTAGAGAGCGAGCCTGCCGTCTCGTTTGCTCCGGGTAACATCTCACCTGGTCGATCCGATGAGCCCAAACGGCTACGCGCTGGCTTGTCGGCGAGGGCGCAATTCCATAGGTGCTCTCATCCATCACCACACAGGCCTGACCAAGTTCTGGCGGAATACGACTGCGATCCAGCGCAAGCTGGCCCGCACCACTTTCCTGCGTCACCAGAATGGGAATGCCCAGCCCTGCAACTTCGGTGAAGATCATCCCGAATCCCTCATGCATTGATGGCATGATCACCAGGTCCGCATCGCAGTAAAACTGCGAGACCACGCTAGGGTCATCGGAGAAAGGGTGCAACCTGACAAGGTCTGGCATGCCTGTCATCTCATCAACAACCTGCTGCCAGCGCTCTACCTCTTCTGCTGGGAGTCCTAGTACATCCAAGGAGATATCGTTGCCTGAGAGTGCGATCTTGCGCACCGCATACACAGCGTCGTCTAATCCTTTGGCGGGATCGTCTGCTCGACCAGCGAGGAGGACCCGAAATAAGTCGTTCGGTTGCCGCTGTTGCGTGCAAGCGTCACCCGTGCGCACGCCTGGAACAAGTTCATGGAAGCGAGGTCCCGTCGTGTTGGATCGTGGCCGATTACATTGCCCCATCCACTCGCGTTCGCGCGCTTCGGTTGTGAGTACAGGCCCGACTCCAACAGCTAAATCCGCTTTAGGGAGAATCCTTTCGTCAAGCATTGCAAGCCGAGCAGCTTCAAAATAACCTAGCTCGCGTGTTTGTCCGTACCACTTCCACGCGACGTCGGACTTGCGCAGCGCACTGGTGTGTGTAATGAGCGCGAGCTTGGCCGTGGGGTACCATCTCTCGCGGATTAAGGAAGCTGCGGTGCTAGAGTATCGCGAGTGGCCAATGATAAGATTGAATGGGGACGTATGTTGGTCGTCTGGTATTGGCAAACCAAAATCTCCTGGCTGGTGTACCTTCGCCACATGGTATAGCAATGCACTGGGATCATCTCCTTTAGAGGGAATGCAGACGACTTTAGCCCGACCATGTCCCGACGACGCCAATGCGTTTTTGACTTCATTCTCGGGCTGCACCATGAACAAAGTGACCGATGAGTTGGGAATTTCCGACATGGCTTTCACTAGCTCTTGGTTTAACAGAGGCAGACCTCCTTTACCTGGCCCGCTGGCATTGGCAACGACGAGCACTCTCCATGGTTGGATCCTTTCCGGCGAGATACTGACAAGACGTTCCCATTCAAATTTGACCTTTTCGCTGAGTTGCACAGCCTTCTGTTCATCGCGCAATGTACCTTTCTTGTCCACAGCAGACCATAATCGAGATAGTTGCGTGCGTGTTTTGAACAACCGGACAAGCCCTTCATTGATAGGTATACCATTCGCCTGGTATGCTTTCCAGAACTCCGCCTGGACTCGGCCAATATCAGCTTCACTCATTCCAAAATCCCCGGCATACTTCCGCAGGCGCTCGTGAAACCCAGCCGCATCCATTTCTGCCGGTCCAATAGGCCGGCCGCTTCCATCCATAGAGCGAGCCAGTCCTCCGTAGTCGATCATAGTGATTCCTTGGATGGGGTCCCAGAAGAAATTTCCTGGCGAGGCATCACCATGCAGTAGTGACGCTACACCTTCTTCCCGCGAGTAATCAATCGCCCGGTCGACTAATGATGCCAGTCGATGTATTTTATCGGATCCGATAGCCCGTTCATACTGCCCTCGCGATGGGCCCTCGATCTCTTCGACCCAACCTTGCAACTTCTTGCGTAGCCTGTCGACGACAGACTCGCTGGCGCTGCTCCATTCGCCCTTTTCCCGATGCAGCTTGGCCAGTGTCAATGCCACTCCTTGGACTGCAGAAACTAAGTCGGTCATCAATCCATTGAATTGACAGTCCAAAAGCTCAGCGGTGGGGATATTTTGTGATGGGGCTTGGTTTGATTTATGATTGATTGGGATCCCATGAAGCGCGGCGCGAATAATATCATTCATTATTTCTCTTGTTTCGTCGGGACAGGGTTGCTTTGCAATAAGTCGGAGAGTGGAGACCCGACCAATGTCACGGATGATTGTGTTGATTGCTTTACCTGCTGCGAGCTGGTAGACAATCACACCCATAGGCTCCGCAGTGTTCTCATCGCGCGTCCTTCCCACACCAAGGGGCCGAGCAGCAGAAGGTGGATCGGACAGAGATAGCAGCTTCCGGTATGCAACGAGTTCTTCGAAAAAGTCTTTATGACATGCTGGTGGATATACCTTTGTGACGGCCACAGTATGTTCTGGGTGGCTACTGTTCCGAACAAAGTAGATGGAGCAGCCGGATTGGCCTTCTGCTCCGGATGCCTGAAGACAGTGGAGCTCGACGGAGTGACCGAGGACGGATTCAACGATTGCGTTGACGGAGCTGGTCTCAGGTAATGCAGTTAATGTGAAGTTGCCGTCATCTTCTTTTCGAATGGTGAGCTTGTCGAGGGTGGTCGGCAAGACGCCCTCCTCCAGTCTAGCGCACTCTAAGGTGACCATTCTATTGGATTACAAAAGTTGAATAGAAAGGACCAGAGCGCAGAAAAAAAAGAGAATATGAATATATTATTCACTTTCATTCCACTGCAGTCGGCAAAAAGGTTCTCTAAGCTCAAGCTCAGAATGCGCGGATCAGACAACGACGATCCACATAATACCAGGATGGTTCCTCAGCCGTGCCACCTTATGCAACACCAGGTGGATCTCTGTGTGACGAGGTCGATCTGCAACAGAAAGGATATGCTGTCTGAATTGCGCCCTCACGGTTGGGTGGGGGGCGTGGCATAGTTGGCGTTCTACTATGGTAATACACATTGAGCCACTAGCATGCCTAGCTCTTTTGTGGCTGGATGGATAGGTTCAAGCGGACAACTCCATCTCTCTGTAGTCCCCATGTGGACTAGATATGCCCCAAGCAAGGGCTGAGCATCTGAAGATGTGATGGGCGTAAGAAGCTACATATCACACATCAGATCCATGAGTGTGACGTTATTGGAAGCCCAGCTGGTGAATTTACAAGGATGAATAACTAAACAGCAGGCAACTGGGGGGCATCAAGTACGTAATACACAGCTTCTAACTATAAGTACAGTGACAGGTGTCAAATCAACCTCGACTCAGCTAGCCACAAAAAGCGACGCCAGGGCATTTTAGCACCTGCATAGTCAGTGAACCATCCATAAGCAAGCCACTGTGCCTACTTCCGTGCCAACCTGGTACTTTGATCAATAGTGGTCAGTTTATAAGTCACTATCGTATTGCAGCTGAAGAGCTATGGAGTTGAGTGAGAGCGAATTGGATGAAGTATCCGGGCATGAACCACTCCACCCAAAAACAGGGTTCTTCCCGCAGCTCCTTCCCGAACTTTAACCTTAGGAATTATGTACGTGGTCGGAACATACAATTCAAATCATATGTATGGATCGATCGTCTTGAATACGAAGTAGTTGGAGTCAACATGCGTATGGGATGAGAAGTTGTAGGGTAATTTTATAAGGACTATGCAAACGACCTTGAATTGTCACGTCCGGTCACATCACGTCATAATAATTATCCACCATTTGGGGTAACTTATCACGCGAGTTGCTCCTCGTATAGTCATTCCAGATTCTAACCTTGGAATATGCCCGCAGGAATTGATTTCAATTAACAATAAACTTTACCTAGTGCTCCATATAGCGCAAATACCAATTAACTGGAATTAAAACCAGCTTATTTCGCAATCTGGCTGCAAATATAGACACAACCGTACACAGCCCGCCATGGCGCGGTAATACGTCAAATCGTTACAGGTAAATGACAAAGAGCGAATACAATGCTCGCTCAATTCGCTCATTATCGGCAATTAGAGCCATATTGTCCTATAGATCTACACTGCTATCAGAAGGTAGGCAAATCATCTTTATCAAATTGAACTTTGCACGCATATTGAAGGAGTATGGATATATTTGCTTGTAGAATTGGCTGGCAATTCTATAGTTTTATCCTTTTTCGCCTTGTCTCTCTCTCCCTCTGGTTTTATTGCATCTGTAGTTACTTCATCTTTATTTCTGTTCATCATGCAGCGTGCAGGTTTGTTCATAATAAGTATAAAGTTGGATGTCTAAGTCAAATTACTGGGTCCAATGATGATTCCGCAAGAATGTAGATTTGAAATCAGGGACTTCAATTTGTACCGGATATACGCAAGTTCCAAGACTACCGAGGTAGTGACCCTGGCACGATCTTCAAGTCAAACATGCATCGAAGTGTAACTCATGTAATAAAATTTTGGATCTTGTAAAAATACTAGCCAATACAGTGGCGTTGCTAGTATTCATCCGGGGTTCCATTGATTGACAGTAACGCCAGGATTGAAACATGGGCACACGACAGCTCAATTGTGACCTTTCAGCTTTCAATCTCACAGCCAACACCCCGCATGAGAAGACAACAACACAACTTCCTGGGTGATTCCCATTCTTCCTGTCTCAATTTCCCGGCCATAGTCAACCTTGAGGTCTAGATTGACTGATTATCAAGAGCTTGTGGCCATGGAGTCGACTATCACTGCTCATGAATTTCTCCAATTTCTTCGATTTGGATATCCTCCAGCTTTGCTAGTGGTTCTTTTTGTCGTCTTTTTGGTTCATTCTTCCCAGGTAGCAAGAAATGCTAGTCGGAATACTGAAGTGCAGTATGGCCCCGGAGGAAAACCACTGCCAAGTCGAACTCGAATGATGATGGCAGTAGCCAGGGACTTGCCCGCGGAGCTTGCGCGGAATAGATCTAAAAGCTGGTTTGTTTTGCTAAGTCTCTTTGTCTTGGCAACCTATATTGGAGAGGCATCGACTCATATCGCCCATGCTATGGTCTTAAAGTCAGAGCAGTGGTGGTGTGGCCAAGCTGTGGTGGTGGGATTTCTGCTTCAAAGACTGAAACCAAAGCTAACAAAATAAACCAGGTCTTTGTTGTTGGGTCGTTCTTTACTCATACTGTCATTTTCATCTCTTTACTCGATACGAACCCTTCACCATCAATCGCACAATTCATTCCATGGCTGTCGGCCATTCCTTTCGAGGTAGCAATTCTCTCGACTTCAGTCTCGATATATTCCCATGCGCACCGGGAGCCTACAGTTGATGATCCATTTGGTGGAAGATTACGCACAAAGATCACATTTTGGGAGGCATTGGAGATTGCCGCAGGTTCTGTGCGGATTTCATTTCTCGCACTGCTGGTCGTGTCCTACATTTTCAAATCTGCCCGCAAACATTGCACCTTCAAGGAGGTCGAAGAAGCCGATGCCGAAGAGACAACCAGTCTGTTAGACTCAAGAGGCAATGCCAACTCGGATGACAGTGATGGCTTGACCGATTGTCAACAGACCCCCGAAGTAGAAGCTTGGGTCCGGCCTTTGACGACACCTTCCACCAACTGGATGGAATATCTGAGTGGTTATTCTCTATTCTTTCCGTATCTATGGCCTTACAAATCCCTCCGGTTACAAGTTGTCGTCGTCATCTGCTTTGCTATATTAATTGTCCAGCGAGCGGTAAATATTCTAGTTCCATATCAGGTGGGAGTGATCGCAGATTCACTGTCCGCCAGTGATGGAACTTTGCAGGTGCCTTGGATGCCTATCTGTTTATATATTATTTACCGTTGGCTTCAAGGCAGTCAAGGTTCTCTTGAGTCAGTTCGTTCGAATCTGTGGATTTCAGTGAGCCAGTATGCATACATGGAGTTATCAACCGCTGCATTTGAGCATGTTCATAGCCTAGGACTGGACTTTCATCTTGGTAAAAAGATGGGCGAGGTTCTTTCTGCTCTCACCAAAGGCAGCTCAATTAACACTTTCCTTGAGCAAGTGACCTTTCAAGTGTTGCCCATGTTCATTGATTTGGCCATTGCTATTGGATATTTTCTAGTCGTATTTGACGTGTACTACGCATTGGCCGTCGCTATCATGACATTCTTTTATCTCTATTCAACTGTCAAGATTGCCTCTTGGAGAGCCAATATGCGACGCCAAATGGTGAACGCTTCTAGGCAGGAAGACGCTGTCAAGTAAGTTTTACTTCCCGTGTCTCGTCTCTGTTTATCCCGTTAGACTTTGCTAATCTATACAGGAACGATTCTCTTGTGTCTTATGAAACCGTCAAATACTTCAACGCAGAGGAATACGAGTTCAATCGCTATCAAGGGGCGGTGTCAGACTACCTCAGCGCAGAATGGCATTCTCTCTTCGCACAGAATCTGATGAATATTTTCCAAAACGTTATCTTTATGTTTGGCCTTCTGATCACCTGTTTTATTTGTGCCTACCAAGTTGCTCGCGGTCAACGTGCGGTCGGGCAGTTCGTGACTCTCCTTACCTACATGGCCCAACTCCAAGCCCCATTGAACATCTTCGGAACCTTCTACCGATACATACAATCTGCGCTGATCAATGCAGAGCGTCTACTCGAGCTGTTCCGCGTCCAGCCGTCAGTGGTGGATGCACCATCTGCAACACCGTTAGCACTCTGCCACGGTCGAATCACATTTAACAACATCCAATTCTCGTACGACACACGACGGCCTGCTCTCAATGGATTGACATTTGACTGTAAGCCCGGTACGACTACTGCTCTGGTAGGAGAATCAGGTGGCGGAAAGTCAACAATCTTCCGCTTGCTGTACAGGTTCTACAATCCAAACGATGGAAGCCTTCTCATTGACGGACACGACACTCAAACCTTGACGATTGACTCCGTTCGAAGATACATTGGCATTGTCCCACAAGACACTGTTCTATTCAACGAAACACTCATGTACAACCTCAAATACGCCAACCCAGACGCTACTGACGAGGAAGTCTATGACGCCTGCCGTGCAGCCAGTGTACACGACAAGATCATGGCCTTCCCCGATGGATATGAAACCAAAGTGGGAGACCGTGGATTGCGACTAAGTGGTGGTGAGAAACAGCGCGTTGCCATTGCCCGAACCATTATCAAGAAGCCTCAAATTATCCTCCTTGACGAGGCAACGGCTGCATTGGATTCCGAGACGGAGCAGAATATCCAAGAAGCACTGTCCGTCTTATCGCGTGGGCGCACTGTACTAGTGATTGCCCATCGGTTGAGTACTATTACCACCGCTGATAACATTGTCGTATTGCACGAAGGTCGTGTCGCAGAGAGTGGGACACATGAGCAGCTTCTAGCTTCTCGGGGTCGATATACCACTATGTGGCAGAAGCAAATTCGTGCGCAGACCGAATCTGTGGGGTTGGATGCCTTGTTGGGCAAGATATAGATTTGTATATTTGAAAATTATTCAAGGGATTTACATATATAGGGTTGGTTGGCTTGTCTGTGGGGAAACAAAACTCTACAGGGCTAATTCCTTGTTCAAGGAAAAGCTCAAAAATGCTTGACCAAATGGATGGATCTCAGTCAATGGTTAGTCCTAATACTTGATACATGTATCTCTTTGCTTAGGGGTGAATTGGAACCATTCGAATGTGAAACTCGCCCAGTGTATTTAAAGCCGGGCAGATCCGAGTAAGAATCTAGATCCAGGAAATTTTTTAGAAATCTGCGAAGTACTTCGGAGCTGAATTGTACATGCAATGTGACCAATGAACTGACAGTTTCCAAAATGGCCCGGTGGCGTAGCCATAAGTCTAGGGCTCATATGCAGGGGTATACTATGTTTGGGGGTCACACATAAAAAATATCATTTTGGTGTCGTCGACCAATTGCTTTTTATTTTTGAATTTCAGTGGTTTACATGTCATATTGTGACGACTTCTGCATGTATATACAATCACATCATGTCAATGCAGGATGAGCCCTATGTACTATGTATCATGCATCCTGTGAGGTTTAGGGGTGGTCTTACAGGGTTTTAGCCTATTGCCGCTTGTATTATGGAGTACACAATCAAGAAAATATTTGAAACATAGTACATATATTTTTTGCAATTACATAGATCTCGATCTGTGTGATAGCGAGTTCTTTATTGGTGTTACTAACCTGACAACTGGGTTCTTACGCTATACTCCTTCGCAATTAATTTACTTTCGTTTCCTCGGAAATCCCTATACTCTGTTCAACCACAAAGTATCCGGCCTTCACTGGCTTTTTTCCCCCTTGTGCACGCATTCTTTTCTGAACATGGAGCGGATTCTGTGGCTGGATAGCCTCCGGGGTATAGCCTCAGCTTTGGTAGTGATACACCATTCAAAGAGCTCAGAGCCCAAGAGTATCGTTGGCTTTTTGACCAGGTCCTACTGGGATCAACCACCCGAGGAGAACCGTCGTCTGATCCAACTACCGCCCTTCCGACTTCTCTTCAATGGGCCATCTATGGTGGCCTTGTTCATTGTCATCTCGGGTTATGCAATCTCTCTTCCGCTTCTCCGATGCCGAGAGCACATTAGGGAAAATAATTTGGCATTCTTTCGTCGATTATGCTCTGCTGCAACTCGCCGAATCTTTCGGATATATCTGCCCTCTATCGCCATACTATTTCTAAGCCAACTTGTATACTTTTGCAATGTGTTTCAGTGGAAAGCTGCGGATGATTGGTTAGGCGGGCTAAAGCCTTTGACAGCCCCATGGGCTCATATCCAATATGTGCTTTCGAGAATAGTGCATCTGCTGGATATCAGCAACCATCAAGTCGATATCAATTTCGATCACAATCGACCGGATATGCGAACTATCAACTACCAATTATGGACAATGCCAATTGAATTTCGTGGCTCGTGTGCTGTCTACTTGTTGATCCTGACGTTTTCATTTTGGAGACCGTGGCCTCGTTATCTAGCATTGGCAGGTGTGGCAACGTATTGGTTTTATATGGGACATTGGGATCTCTTTGCTTTCGTTTCTGGTATTCTTCTTGCAGAAAGACATGTTTCCTCGGAGTCCGAACCAGATGGAGAGATCGCATTATCATACTCCTCTCCGTCTCTCGAGATTCAAAAACCCATTATCAAATCCTGGAACAAATTCACGGAAAGCATATATCTCCGACACCTTGGAACATCAGTCTGGTTCATTCTAGGGTTGTATCTCCTCTGCATGTGCGGTGCTGACCGGTTAGCACGAGAGTACGAATGGTTGGTCGTGGCTCGATCCCCCGAGTGGGATAATGCTGAAATGATGCCCCGGTGCTGGAGGAGCGTTGGGGCAGTTCTGACAATATATGCAATCAGCAAATCTACGTTGCTCCAAAGACCACTTAACTCACAGCTACTGCAATACTTGGGTAAGATCTCATTCCCACTCTATCTAGTCCACCCGACAATCTATCTTGCTCTCAAGTGGCCAGTTCGGGACTTTCTGTGGTGGGCGGTTACAAAAACACATTATCCTGGTACGATTGAGGCGAGCGAACATGCTTTACCGTTTTCTATAACTTGCATGGGAACCATGCTCGTGTTAGGTGTTGTTATGGTGGTAGCATCTGAACTTTGGAATCGTTTCGTTGACATGAAGTGCCTGGGGGTTGCAAGAAGATTCGAAAAATGGGTTTCGTGTTAGCGGATGCAGTTGCGAGAATGGACCCCAGAATGATAAGACATATGATTGGTACCAGCCATTCAACCATCTCTCATCAGCTACGCACTTTAGGATGGCCCCTCGAACAGACAGCCTTACTATTAAGTAGTGCAAAATACATCAGACAAAATAACTTTTATGACTTTATCCCTATGTATGACTGAATATTTTAATGACACCAGCAGAAAGTACATATCACGAACGCCGTTATGCAAGAACCCCCAAAAGAATCAGATCATCCCGAATTTCATGAGATGGGTATACATCATAAATCCTTTGATTACTCCTTCTGAGCGGCATCGGCCTTGGCGGCATCGGCCTGGGCCTGGGCCTCCTCATAACCCTCGGTCTTCATGTCTGTCAGACCAAGATCATCTTCCTCCTCGGCAGAGCGGGTGTACTCCTCAGTAGTGATCTGGTGGTCGATAGCTGGGCTGCAAAGATCTTGCACGTAAGAGGAGGCCATCGGGTCTTGCAACGTGATAGCGAACTTGAGCTCGCCACTGATAGCCTGGTCGAGACGAGTGAAGAACCTTTGCCACTTATCCTTATCAGAAGAAGCCATGCTGTCGCCTCCAGAGCGTGTGGAATCGTCAACATCGAAAATGGCACCCTTCAACTGATCCCTGATTTCAACTATAGAAAGGGTTAGCTGAGTCAATGTAATCAAATAATAGAGGAACTAACCTAGCAATCCCTCGACTGTGGTGAAACGTCCACCGAGGGTTCCTGGCTGAACGTCCAAGTCAAGTTCGGAGCTGTAAAGTCCGGCTGTGTCACTCTTGAGAATATCGCGCGAGAGATCAACCTCGTTATCCACCTGGAGAGTGATACGCTTGCCCTTCTCGGGTACCTCACCACCGGTCTTAATTGCAGAAGATTTGTAGCCGCAGTGTCCACAGTTCGTGCCAAACAGCAGGACTTCCTTGAAGTAAGGAATGTTAACCTTCTTAATGTTCACCTCGGCTTCCTTATTACAGCCAGGACACTCGGCAGGAATAGTGTAGACCTGGCCATCGACGATATCAAGATCCTCTGGGTCGCCAGCGTCAACCTGAGCTGTATTCTCTTGGTTGACAGCCTTGGCATCAGCAGAAATTCCCAACTCCTCATTCTGCTCGTGGGTACGAGGGTATTCTTGGCGTTTGTACTTGTTGCCGCGATCGTTGCTGTTAGGCGCGATCCACGAATTTCCAGTGAGGTCATCGAGGGAGATGGTGAAGGGGAAAGCGTCCTCACGAGACATGATCTTCTCAAGACTGTCGATGATAGGCACAAGGGCGGCGTGAAGTTCAGGAGCTTGGTCCTTACGGAGATCTTGCTCTCCTGACAAATTTTCATGAATGAGTTGAACCACTGGAAACAATGAGGTTAGCATCGTGGAATCGAGCTTGATTGGATTGGGTTTCACATACTGCCTTCGACATTGGTCAGTTGGCCAGTTCCCTTGGGGACCTCAATCTCGTTGCCGAGCTTAGTGGTAAGCTTGAAGGCCGAAACATCACTTCGGATGACTTGGCGCTAAAACATCCAATTAGCTTGAACGGGGGAATATTATAGCTGGAGATAGATACCTGAAGATCCTCCTCATTCTCGACCCTTAAAGTATAAACTGTTCCACGCTCCTGGATCTGGCCGGCCGATTTGATCGAGTTATTTTTGAGGTGGCAATGTTCACATTCGAAACTCTCCAGGATGATGTCTCTGAAGTAAGGGACTCGGAGCAAAAGCAGGCGCGTGACACTGAGGTGGTTTAAAGTTAGCAATGTGCAAACCACAAGAATTGAATAGTAGAAACGAACCCCTGCTCGTGGCAGTTCATGCAAAGTGATTCGATTGACATCGCGCCAGTGTCATCATCACGCTCCACAAGATCGCCGGGTTTTTGGAATTGCGACTCAAACTGCGCCTCGAGGGCATCATTGTCGGCTTTGCTGACCATTGTATAAGATAAAGTTTTGTGAAAATTAATGAGAAATGAGAAAGAATGTGGACTCTGATATCCCAAGGCAAATATTTGTGTAAAGATGAATATCCGGGGGTAGTTGTAGTTGTAGTAAAAGTACTGGAGCAAGAAATTGTTATCGCAAAAAAATTATCGGAGCCACGGGAACATTCCTTGCTGTTCTGCGCGGGGCAGGTGGGCTGAGGGGCTGACAAAGAGGGGGATGAGGTAATGCCTTTTCTGCCACTATATGTGTCACCGCTTAACCATACTCGGAGGGCGGTGAGGTGGATAACTTTATTTGGGATTGCATTGACATTTAACTACATGCGATCATTGCAGATCGATCTTCATGTAGAACATACATCGTGCACTGTGCATGATCTAGAGCTCACAATACATATTCACGGTCTTCAATTGATTCTTTGAATGCCCCGGTATTCCGCCCAACACTAGAATCTGCGAATGTAGTAGTTAGCATCACCTTGGAATAGAAGGGGTGCTTGGGGGTACTTATAAAAAAAAAAAGTGGCCGTTTCCACCACCAAAGTGGTAGAAACGGCAGTCCACCGGCTATCGCCTGGCCAAACATTCTGCTCCCATGTAAAGAACCATCATTGACACAACGTCCAAGTCCCAATGACAATACAATAGTTCCTTGGCGGTATAGAGGTCGCGCGATTTCGCATTCGTCGCTTTTCAGTTCACTCCAATCAGACAATACGGACGAGCCTCAGCCGGGAACACATAGCAGCAGATGAGTATCGTAGACAAGCCAAAGCTTTGATCCTCACTCGAGAGAGGTCCTATGACACCCACCGCATAACGCATACACGTTAGAACCGACCAAGGACATCGGCCCCATGCCAACTGGAAATGGGCTGATTGGTTAAAGCGTTCGAAGAATAGAAACCGTACGTTTCTCTGACCAGAACAATTGCGATCAATCGAGAGAGATAAGAGGGCGAGCATCAAATACAGGCGCAGACAGGAGTTGAGGAATTCTGGGAGCAGACGACAACCGATGAACATATCCCTCAGACCCACGAAACCCCACGAAACCCACACGACCCCACACAACCTTCACAAAGACAAAGCAAACTTGGCCGGGACACAGTAAGCTCAACCGAATGTGCTCAACTGCCATCCATCTCCGCAACTCCAGTCAACTCGCCATTATTTCGCCGATACCGTCGCATGAGTATGAAGCCGAGTCTCCCGTGTGTGGTACAGTACCCTTTGGGACAGGTTTTTGTTTCCTCTCCCAGTTGACCCGAGGATCTTGCAGGAGGGCGTGTTATGAAGCGGACAAAGAACATCCAGAAAAATCGCTTCCTTCTTCCCGAGGGAAGGAACAATGATGGAAGTCATTGTTGAAGTCGGCGCCCATCGATCTATTCACAAACTGCTTTGCGAAGAGATGGTTAACACGGTCGGTCGGGATCTTCTGACGAAGTCGAATCGGTGGCGGGTGCCGTGATACGAGGCGCCTAGCCGCCTGTGGGGCGTAGGAATAACAGAACCCAAGAAGGTGGAACGCAGGTGCAAGATCCCCAGGGATCCTGGAATAGGAAACATGTGCAGGACCAGACAGTTGATGCTAACAGAATTGATGAGAGAATACAGGCAAATAAGTTCGAAAAACACCAAATAGCTTGGGGGAAATTCTTTGCCATCCGGAACGAGACAACAGTTCGCAATCTTCTACGTGCTCCTGAGACCAACATTGAAGAATCATAGGGCAACATAACCAAATAACCTCGCGACAACTTCAACTATGAAAATGCCTGGGCAATTTTCAGGGAGAGGAATGTTGATTCCGGCGAGTGGATTATTTGGATATGTTGACAATATGACTGTGTGTAAGGATACTGCTGTGTTCTAGGCTCCAAATCTCCAAGCCAAGCAATTTGATGCCCTAGGGTATTCGAAACTTAAATGTCGCATTCAATCGCCATCTGGTCGCGCTGTCGTGGGTGGTCCTAAAGGTGACATCTGATAAGGAAGTACCCGACATGCTTCACCCGCGTTCTCTTCTCGCTGAATTGGTATCCGAGGCATAGGGCGACCATCCTTTTGTGACCGGCATGCAGCGTCCAGCATTGGTAAACCGACGCGGTCTCCTTTTGGATAACGCATAGTAAACCGTCTTTTGTGCCCGAAGGCTCTGGCCAAGTCGAATATCTTTCACTTAATCGGACCATCACAGTCTGTTTCAGCTAATCGTATTATCCGGCATGCGCAATCCGTGAAACTGTGTCTGTGAGGACATTGAACCGAGGAGGGCTTAGGGTTTGACTCCAATGTCTTCTGCGCCGAAACGATACGAGTCGCCGAGGGCGAGACATATGTGACGGTTCGCCATTAAAGGCAGCAGAAGAAAATGAAGATCTAAGAGGGTTGATCTGTACATGTGCCTCGGAGGGCAAGAGACTCGAGTGGCTCCACACTCAGGAAACAGTCGCGGTGGAACTCCGGCACGTCTGAACAGAGATTGGGTCCAATGAATATTGTAAAAACAAGCAAGATTCGGGTTAGCTGAGGAACTGGCCACGGCGGTTTATGATGTCTCTTTAAAGGGTGTGAAATGGGTAGTGGATAGAGTAGACGGAGTTGGTAACAACATCTTGGGGTTGACGCGACAACACTAATGCGGACAAGCGCGACGGGCCACGAGACTGACGCGACTACCACGTGACCGACGCGTGACTCTATAGGTAGGTACTTGCCGGTTATGACATAATCAACGACAAACGCCAAGGCCGCAATTGTTCGTGATTATTCATTCAATTTTCGAAGTGGACAATGTCGATGAGGCCAATACCCTCATTGGCGTGAATTTGGCATGATAGGATCTTACAAGTATTTATGATGGGAGGCCTACAGCAAATTCGCGAAGCATTTGACATTGCTAAGAACTTTCTGACCCCAGTCCTCGATCGAGGTATGCACATCCGAGATATCAAGTTACATTCAGGTCTCTGGCGCTGACTATCCGGAAGAGGAAATACAGAAGACTCAAGGTAAATCTTTGCTGCAGATCCTCAGTCGGACTCCGGGGGAGGATGATAGTGCTGGTGATGATGCCGCAAGACCAACAGTGATTAATGAGGCTTTGGATATCTTGACCAATATCCATAGATCTTTTGTTTCACCTGAGGACCAATACGGGTCTCTTCGGTCATATGGGGAGGTCGAAGACTCACCATCAGAAGATGCCAAGCGTCGTCGGATGCTACATGCATTGCTGGACCTGATTTCCCTAGAAGGAATATATCCTTCGCTATCATCTGGTGTTGGGATCCCCCTGCAACAGCGGGTCATCTCGGTATTGCCAGCCGGTGTCATTGCGAAGCAGGCCCAAACCGTTGCTAGCAGTGTACCACATGACGAGCCTCTTTTGCGCCGCGTAATTGACGTTCTGGTTGACGTTCTCTTCGACCCAAAACCAAGCCTCCAGCCGATCATTCGTGGTCGTATATTAAGTGACATAATCAGTGGCACATCTGATCTAGCTTTCAATCCAAATACCGTGACATCCCCTCATAGGAAAACATATCAGCAAACGCTAGCCAAGGTCATTGATGAGTATGTTTACATTGCTTTTGCTATTTATGGTAATATTAACAGTATACAGCACCCCAACAACCGTCTTGTTGCCCACATTGTCTGCGTTCCTCCAGTCGGATACCGCACAATGGTTCAAGTCAACAATTTCCAGCCAAATTTCGCAGGTTCCGCTACGACCCGGCGGAGTAGTGCAAACCATCATGTTCATTGCATCACAGTTCTCCCCATCGCTAGGCCAGGAAGCACAGGACCAGTCAAATGGACCTCGTTTAACTGTGCAGGCCATCATGCAAATCTCACGACTCCTCTCCTCCGTGCCATCGGATTTTGATCCAACTGTCTATTTTGAGACAATTGCCCCCCAGCTGCTAGCATTAATAGACGGAGAGGATCCAGATCTGCGGAAAACTGCGTCATATGTCGTTGGTAATGGAATTTTGGGGAAACGTGCTTATGGTGCTCCTGGCACTGTTGGGCACTCGATTTTTGTGGAGCCGATATTCAATGCACTCGCCGCGAACCTCGATGCTCAGTCGAGGCGATGGATAAGTCGCTTTACCGATATCGAAGGCTCAATGCCGGACCCGGCGGAAACGGACCCCACATCCATTGTCCTAGTAGATGGCGTCACAGTGGACCTGGCTCTAAACAGACTGAGATGTCTGACATTGCAGCATCCAAACCCGGGTCTCGTGAAACGAATCGTTTATCCAATTCTTCTTCCATTGTGGGGCCTGGTCTGCTTCTCCCAGGAGGAAGGGCTGACCTCATTCCATGAAAGAGTGTTGCCCCTGCTCCAGACTTATTTTGGAATATCTGTTGGAGCCCAACCCCTTAAAAAGCTGGTTGATAATCTTCTTTGGGATGGGGGTGCGATGTGGACATACAATAAAGATTCAAATGATGGAATCGCGTTGCAAAAAAGGAGCGAGAAAACAAACGAGCATTCAAATTTGGTACGACTGATCGATTCCCTCCAATCACGAGCAGAGCTTTTTGTTAGTCTTATTGGCTCGGATCCTAGCAGTGAGGAACGGACCGGTGATATCTTTCTCTATGTCAGTCAAAACTGGCTAGTGCAGCCACATGGCTCTGCGGTCTCTGGCAACACATTGAGCGGAGGTCCTGTTGGTGAAAATGACAACATCATTCAGAAGCTTGTCAGTGCCAAGGTTGCAGAGAAGCTGCTTGAGAACTTCAAAGAAGCACTAACTCGACGCCCGCTCCGAGTTTTAGAGCTTATCAAGCAAGTCATTGATGGGGAGCTACATAGATTTACCGCGCAAGAAACAGCGACGAAAGGAAAAGTAAAAAGCAAGGTGTCCCTGTCATCCTTGGCTAATATTGTGAAAGCGGAGGACAAAGACAAAGAGGAATCAGACAACGACTCCTCCGAGTCCGTCTCAACAGCCTTCAGTTTGATGTCTACGCTTCTTGCCTCCGC